CCTCCTCCTCCTCCTCCTCCTCCTCCTCCTCCTCCTCCTCCTCCTCCTCCTCCTCCTCCTCCTCCTCCTCCTCCTCCTCCTCCTCCTCCTCCTCCTCCTCCTCCCTCCTCCTCCTCCTCCTCCTCCTCCTCCTCCTCCTCCTCCTCCTCCTCCTCCTCCTCCTCCTCCTCCTCCTCCTCCTCCTCCTCCTCCTCCTCCTCCTCCTCCTCCTCCTCCTCCTCTTCTTCTTCTTCTCCCTCTTTGATGGGAAAACCAGAAAGATGATAAGATAGGGAATTTAAAACTAAAACATGTATGTAAACGATAGAAGTTGTTCAAATGACCGCAAGATACTTCTACTTTTGATACTGAAAACTTCCTTTTCTGTGAAAACTAGAGAGGCCCTGTCAACAAAAAACGAGCATATGAAATTACAGCCTTCTACATAGAAGCATCCAACAAGTTCTTTGGTTTTATAGAGTACAAGGATATCTTTGAGACGTTTCCAAGACTGTTGTTGAATATTTATCCGAGGTTGAATTACACCTAACATCTACATTACGACGCACTTCCCAGCATCTTTGAAATTCCGTATTGGTCGATTTACATCCTCGCCCCGATCGTTTGAAATTTGGGATTGGTCAATTTACATACTCCCTCCGTCTGTTTGAAACTTGGGATTGGTCGATTACCATACCTCCGCTCAGTCGTAATCTCACTGACATTTCGAAGATTTTTAAATTCACTCACGGGCTGTATTTTGTAAATCTCTGTCATCATTGACATTTGAAATCAACACCTTGATGGTTTCCCAAGTTGATTTCTATGGCTGTGTTCACACAGACCATCATGTTTGTGAAATGTAAATTTGGGTTTCTATTATGGACAAGAGTTTGATGGAGTCAAGATATGAAAAGCGTAGATGTTCGTGGATTGCTCAATTACTCGAGACCCAGATCCGTGGTGGTTTATCTTATTAGAGATTTTGAGTTACTGGGAGAAATGGAACGCTCACAATGATGGCCTATTTTCTGCCTTTAGAATCTTGGTGAGCGGCAACAGCTTCGAACGGGGGTCATCCCAGGCATGGCTTATTTATATTTCTTGACAAGATATGTAATCAGTAAACTGGGCTGGTACCCAACATTCCATTTCCATCACTCATTTTCTTCCTTATCATCTCTTCTCTTCTCCACTCTCCCTCCCTCTATATCTCTATCTCTCTTTTTCCCAATCTCTTTCTTCTCTTTCTTCCCCCTTTTTCGTTTCTCTCTCTCCCTTAATCTATCCCTTAATCTATCCCCCTTCTATCCCTATCACGGTTTACATTCTCATTTGTCTTATCCATTGCAATGCTGCTTGTTTCTCTCAATGCATATCCCCCCCCCCCCCTCTCTGTGTCTCTCCCTCTCTACTTCTCTTTTCTTTGCTATTATGCAGCTTTTCATATATTATACATGCATCTATCTGTGTCTTGCCATTCACTTCCATATCTCTTCTTCTTTCTTTTTCTCTTTTTCTCTCTTCATCTTGATCACACCATCATGCTGTTTATTGTCAGTATATTCCATTGTTTCGTTTCTTACATGTATTTCTTCATCTTAAGCTCTCTCTCTCTCTCTCTCTCTCTCTCCCTCTCCCTCTCTCTCTCTCTCTCTCCCACTCTCTCTCTCCCCATCCCTCCCTCCCTACCCCTTTCTCTCACTTTCTTCTCCATCCCTCCCCCCTCTCTCTCTCTCTCCATCCCTCCCCTCTCTCTCTCTCTCTCTCTCTCTCCCTCCCTCCCTCTCTCCCTCCCTCCCTCTCTCTCCCTCCCTCTCTCTCTCTCCCTCCCTCTCTCTCTCTCCCCCTCTCTCTCTCCCCATCCCTCCCTCCCTCCCTACCCTTTCTCTCACTTTCTTCTCCATCCCTCCCCTCCCTCTCTCTCTCTCTCCATCCCTCCCCCTCTCTCTCCTTCCCTCCCTCCCTCTCTCCATTCCTCCCCTCCCTCTCCATCCCTCCCCCTCTCCCTCTTCTGTGCTTACCCACACTCACGATCTCGATCACTCACTTCATCACACTGCTTATTGTCAGAGAGTCAATATATCACGCCTATTTCATCCCTATAATGAAACGATATAACTCTCATTCCGCAATATCTCTAGCTCCCCAGTCAGAGTCGCTCCCCGCCTCCTTCTGTAAATGTCAAACCGTGCTCGGCTCGATCCATGGCCCAATAAAAAAACGTGACATCTCATCTTTGTTCACGTTTATTAAGCAACTCTTGCGTTTTTATATCTATCATTTGAGCTCTTAAAAGTCGTAACATGGCGAGGGAGGGGGAGGGGGTGGGGGATTGAAGAATAATCTAATAGAAAGAGCTTTGGAGTTGTTATTGTCACAGTTTTTTTGTTGTCCAAATAAAGGCTAGCTTTTATACCGAGGTGGAAACCTCTTAGTTTTAGTAAAGGAATATGTGGAGTAGCGTAAGGGCAAGCTTTGTTCATCCATGTTCTATCAATGCTCGGTGAGTTACTTTCTATAATATTATTATTAGTAGTATTATTTTTATCATTATTGTCATCATCGTCATCAACCTTGTCATCATCATCTTCATTATCATCACTATCATCATTAAATTTATCTGTAGACCATTCTGATAACTTCACATCTAAGTAAGATTTGACATGAGGCCATGTAAAATTGATTCTTTGTTTCTTGCCCCCTCCTGCATCCCTTCTTCCTTCTCTCTTTCAGCCCCCTCCCCCTACTATTTCGTATCTGTTAATGTTTGTTTGGATAGAAGTTAAATAACAGTCTGATGAGATATGAAAAAGGGGAGAATATTTGTTAATTCTAGGCTATAATGTAACAAGTATCATTTGAATAGTGCAATTTTAACCTGTTTTGAGCATCTGCAGTGTATAGACGAAAAATGTTCTATGAAGGAAAAAAGGTTGTTTTGACATTATTCTTACAAGATTCTTTTGTGTAGGGAATATTGAATCCTGTATTTGGAGAAGAAATGTTTTCTACTCTCCCTCCACCCCACTTCTCTCTATCTATCTCTCTCTCTCTCTTTCTCTCCCACTCTCTATTGTTCTCATTTGGTATTCTCCAGTTTTGGCAAAAGGGATACACTCCCTTTAAGGATAGGCTAGGATGACTAAATATTTGTTTCACTAGCTTGTTTCTGCTATCTACCATACTGTTACTTCATGGGGAGAAGTAGCGGTTACATCTATGGTCGCTGCCCGGTGAAGTATTTCTGGTATTTCTTCGGGAGTTGGTGAAAAAACCGGGAGTTCCGTGTCGGTGAAACACAGCAGTGCACTGTATTTTTATCGCTGAGTCAGCTGGGTTCGGGGAGAGTGAGATGCTGATGGGATGACCTTGGTCAAACTTATGATGAACCGGCGTTTGCTCCGACGATGATTACTCTAGGGCTGATTACTTTCTAATGGACAGAGTTTAGATTTGGGATGGAATTGGATTTCAGCTTACATTTAGTGTTAGGGTCATGGTGAAGTTAAGAATGAGGTTGGAGTAGGAAATTGACCCGTTAAGGCGTCTGTCATTGGAAGAGCTCATTAGAAACATCTTAATTCCCTTTTGTATACGGAATGCCTTCTGTGTTTAAGGGAGATATAATAAATGAGTCAAATAACTTTTTTTTGTTTTTTGTTGTTGCAAAACTTGGTGTTAATAGCTACCAGTAAAGAAAGAGAGATATGCTTGTCAGCAGAAAAAACAACAACAAGAAAGCACTGAGCAATTTAATTTTGGATATTTCTTAAGCGCTCTGTTTTTGTTTGCATAACTTGTCTAATTTCTAAGATATTGTGTAATCCATCGTCCCTATTCTGTGCCCACGTAGATGCTATTGTTTGGTATTAATCATCTGACTGTTTGTAAGATGAAATAGGGTAAGGCAGTTAAACTTCAAATGAACTTGTTAGCAATCTACTTCACCGAGCCAGCAAATACTTGGCTTCAAGCCATTTGATCGAATGTTCAGCTTGAAAATGTCAAGAAAATATGGATCAATATATTCAGTCTAAATCACTTTGCGGCGATTATACATTTCTGGCGATTATACATTTCTGGCAAGGTATACGCCTTCAGGATATTAATTTGGCTCTGTAATAATGCTTTATTAATTCAGTCTTTACGGCCTCTATCTCATTATCTGCAATTCGATACTTCATGAATTTTATAACAATCAACTTTATGTCTGAATATCTGTAGGCAAGAATTTATACCCTGAATCGCCCACAGGATTAAAATGAAATAAAAAAAAGGGTGCGGTCAGCGCTTAACGTTCAAAAGAGTCGCTATTAAAACGTCAGATGTATTTTCCTCACACATCACGGCTTTAGTACTTGTTCGCGATTCAATAGCCCCACTTGAATATGTACTTCCCATTGTGGTCGCCTTGGCAACCGCTTGAAGTAGACTTTTATTTGAAGAGTGACGTGAAATGGAGACCTCTCAGATATTCCCTGTGCTGTCACTGTAATATATAGTTACCCGCGTTTGAATGATTTTGAAAATGGAAATTGTATGCGGTTGTGAATGAGCACTGTAATGGCTTCTTGTGTTATATTTTTGATATTATTGGATTATTGACCTGCAAGAAGTTGTTACTGTCTTGATGTAATAAGAGCTTTTATCCATTTTCCTTTTCGCCAAACTTTGTTTTTCTCTCTCTCTCGGTGCAGTTGCAATACATCATTCTTGTTGATTCTAATTCTATTTTTTTTTCCTGCCTTTTCTTCATCATTTTTTGTACCAAATAATCATGTTAATATATGCAACATCAATTACCAGCATTTATACATCTTCTGTTTGGAGACAGAAGGATCTTAATTTTTTGTTACAAAATTATGAGTTAACTCCCTTCTGGCTCCAAACAGATGATAAAGTGCTTAATAAGTCTATGATGTCTCTATTAATATATTTCTACTTCCTTTGCATCACAGATCAAGTCTAATCTAACCCCACACTTTTTCTCTTTTTATTCTATCTCGCTTTGCAGGCTGGAGAACACATGCGAGACATGCTGTCGGGTATGCATAACTGGTACGCCTGCTCCCACGCTAGACCCACTTACTGCAATGTGTGTCGGGAAGCGCTCTCAGGCGTTACATCACATGGCCTTTCTTGTGAAGGTAAGAAATCGCCCCCTTTGATGGGATTCTCTTGTCTTAGAAGGAGGGGGGGGGGGGGGGGACAAGTAAAAAAAAAATTGTCTGATAGGCCATTAATAAAGAGAAAAGAGAGAAAGTTATCAGTCTTTTAGATGCCTTTTGTGGTCTAAATTACTAAAGGCACTATTTTTATTTCTGTGTGTACTTGGGTGTAATAAGGCAAGCAAGATTGGGTTTGCCAGGGGTAAGGGTACCTCCCCCCCTCCCCCTCCTCCTTTCACTCTGGTTACCCCACTGCTTCCATGCTCTCTCAGCTTAGACCCTTTTTTATGTGTGAAAGGACTCATTTGACCAATCCATATGCCAGTTTTATTTAGGGTTTATAGTTTAGAGACAGCACAAAGTATTTTTTAAATACCCTGTTTATCAGAAAACACTAGGAATGTATAATCCTTTCATATGTATGTGGATTTGTCTGTGTGGACACGCTTAGAGCCAGAGACTTACTGAAGGCCTTTTCAAATAAAATAAGGCAAACCCCCGCAAAAATTGCTCCAATCATATCCCACATTAGTACTTTCCTGATTCTTACATTATCCATGGAGCGCTGGATTAAATAGAAAGGGTGCTGGGGAACCTCACCATCGTTGCAAAGTTCTCACGAGAAAAGTTTTGCCAAAAGCTGCGCTGACGATGTTGTTCTTGAAACTGTAGTGTCAAAAGTACAGTTTTAGTCTCCATTAAGAACATAATGGACAGTTGTTTACGACTAAACCACTTCACACCGTCACATAAATAGCAATTTTATGTAGGGAATTGTCTGTGTGTACGTGCTGAAAGCAAGAAAGCTATAAATTAACATCCCTCCAGACCCCCCGCAGACAATATTGATCTTGGTAATAACGAAGCGAAGCTTTAAAACTGAAGTGCAATTCTACGTGTCATTAAGATAGTAATGGGTGGTTATTTTTGACTAACTGCTTCGGATCGACACATAAATAGCCCTCGAGCCTCATGGAAAATAAATGTTTATTGCTGTTCAGCTACAACTTAGCTGCCATTAATCATCCCGATATTTATTGCCCCTTGTCATCACCACTCTTAAAATAGACAACGAAAGTTTGGGAATGAAAGAAGCGGAGGGTCCCAGGGTGGATCTGTTAATAGATGTTGATAAACTACCCGTGAAATGGTTTAATTTGGGCTGCAGGGTCCTACATGTATACACATTCAAATGATGGTCTGCATTAATGTGGTGATGAATCATATTTTACTTATTAAGATAGAACTCATGTTTGGATCCATATGATTAATGCAGACCACATTTACATCAACAAAAATGCATGATCTACATTCATCTGTTTGATGAAAGATTCATTATTGATTGCTCACCCGGTTCGGGTTCTGTCACTTCCGATTCCATTCACGATAGAATATGTCTTGATGCAGGTCCCCATATACATTGAAACATGATGTGTTCGTGATGATGGAAGCATATCAAGATAGATTCAAGAGATACTTTATTTTCTCCAATCGAGCAAAGTATAACTGACATTATCCATTGCTCCTGTTTTTTGTACTTTCATATTTTCATTATAATTAAGCATTAAGCATGTCCATTTTTCTCTCACATGAAATACGTAGAGCAGCGTATTACAGCTCATTCATTATAGATAGGTGTCTTGTGTTGCAGGTCCATTCACATTCAAATTATTATCATGTTACATTGAAATATGATTGTGATGATGGAATCGATATCACTCATCGAGATATATCCTCTATTTGGTACAGGGTCCCATTCATATTGAAGTATTATCCTCATTTAATCTTGGGATCAACCATTTGCCCTGGTGGCACTTCCTCTGGGGTTTATTTTGTCAAAGACTTTGGTTTAGGGTTAGGGTTGTAATTTGGTTATAGGTTAGGGTTAGGTATAGTGTTGGGTTCAGGGTTAAAGGTCAGAATTTGGTTAGTGTACACAATTACAAGCTATCCTTGTGATGGTAGGATCTATGTTACTTGATACAGAACTTTCTCAGTGTAGGGTCCCATTTGCATCCAAATTATGATCCTTTTGATTGATATGATTGAATCAATTTTAGGCGTATTCACAAAAATAGAACTCCTCTTTTTATTCAGTCTGATTCAAATCAAGAACGAGCTGCATATTATGCAGTTTGGTTTTTGATTTTTGATTATTTTTATCCCCCAATTTGATCAGCCTTTTTATATTCATGTGGGATTGATTGGACATTTGAATTGGCAAAGCTTCGTTGTTCTGACAAAGTCTTTTCCAATGTAAATGGGGTGGCTATAAATACCTAGCAATGCATGTGTTTCAATTTACGCTCCCCCACCTGGCCATTATATAGTGTGTCCCAGAAAAAAAAGGAAACCCAAAATGTGAATATAATTCCTTGATTATCATAAAGTAAAAGTAATATGCTGTTGATGACATAATCAAATTAATCCTCACAGGATTTTACTGAGCAACATTTTTTTTTAAATGGCATATCAAATTCCAATTTGACATCCAGGTGGTATTCCCACAAGAATCATAGTAAGCTAGGGGCAATTTGCATTGTGGTAAAACAGAAAGATGTGGCCTAATGGGCAGAAAGGCAAAAAATTAACCAACAGAATGTGTACTTTTCCCTCTCAAGATGTGTATCTGTTTAACTCACAAAAGGTGCTCTTTTTCACTGATTGAGGGTAATTTATTGGTTTGGGGGAAATCTCCTGGTATTTGCCTCTGTCATCCTGGAAAAAGGTACTGGCCCCTGTTTCTTGTAAATGTTTAAATGCACATCATCACATAATGGAAATCCTGCATAATCATCTTATTCATAATCATAATCATTCCCTGTAGGTCATGTTCGCATGTGATACTAACCTTTACCCTATTTTACAAAAATCTGGCAAAAATGGATTTTGACATGCAATTTTCAAAACAACGTTGCTTGATGGAGCTTGTATGGAATAATGTAATCAAAGTTTCATTTGAAAGCACAGTACTTTTATTTTATTAAAAGCGAAAAATTAATTTCATACACCTCATAATTTGCACACATGAATAGTTTGTTTCCAGGTTTCATTTTTTCTGAGACACTCTGTACAACACCTCCTCTGCCTTCTATATCATTGGTGCATTGGGAAACACCGGATCGCACTGCGAAAGAGGAAATTGATCATGATGTGTTTACAATGAAATGACGTCGGTTAATAACCGTCATATTCAGTTTATAGAACATGAAAATGCAGGTAATTCACTTCTCATCGCTGTCATACTCATAATCCCTTGACAATGGGTTGCCCTGATGTGCTGGCTCCCAACCCCCAAGGGAACACTCTGGTTATTATTTAACTGCCATGAATAGATCCTCCTATAATATCTACCAGTAACTGAAAGAGAAAGTTAGTTCTTGGAAAATGAAAAATTATGTAGGAGAATTTTCTTTTTCTCTTTTCCCAATTGAAAATAACAATGATTGAAATTTCCCATGAAAAAGACTCCTAAAGTGATTTCATATTATATGTTTCATTATTTTTTGACGCTACAGGTCCCTTGTACTAAAATCTGTGTCAAGTGATTTTCAATGTTTGTGATCTTTAGCAAGATTTAATCACTGTGTTTGTATCTATAACTTGCTAGTCGCTATTCATAATTAAAAATTGCTTCTTGCACGATTTATGCAAGATTTATGCAGTTTGTTTTAATTTTGCTCACTCAAAACCCATCATAAAAACACAATTCTTCCACTTAGTACCATATATCAGCCACTCTGAATAATTTCTAGACAATTATCTTTTTAATTCAAATGAGTTCACACATAATCAAATTCCTCTTACAAATAATATAACCATAGGCAAAGACCCAGCCACCTTGGCCAAGTGCAGAATCTTTATTGCAGAAATATTTCTAGGGCAAATTTGATTGCATTAGCAGACCCAATTTCTTTGAAATTAGCTTGAACCGTGATTTGATTTGGAAGAAATCAGTTCCCTATGCCTCAATGAATTTCATATTAGTTAATGTAATTGTAGGACCTTGGAAAACTCTTGAAAGAAAACATTCTACGAAAGAAAATTTTCCCCATTTTTTCTTAAAATAATCATACATCTTAATTTATTGGGTTTTTTAATGAAAAAAGTGAACATGATGGAAAACAATTTTTTAAGGCTACGAGTTGCGACTATGTAGAAAATATGTTAATTGAATCACGGGAATTACATGAAACTTTAATAATGTTTGCCGTATAAGAAACAGAACAATACGTGACTTAATACCACTGTTAAAAAGTTATATATTCTGAATAGTAATTCAGATTTATGTTTGAATAATAACTTTCATATCAATCAGGGAGAATAGCTGGGCTGACAAGGAGATGTATATACCGGTACAAAAGGCAAATGTGACATCACGTATCTTTGCTCTTTCCAAATTTCCAGTCAACGATAAAAGTGTAAATGTTCTACTTCGGTGGAAGGGTGATTCTATTTTCAAATTACAGAGATAATAGAAAGCATGAAAGGGAAAATTTGTAAGATTGGTAGGCCGGGTGAGCATTGGAATTTTTAAAATGGTTAGAATTTTGACTTTGACATTCAACCATCGGAAGAGAAGAAGAAACGTGGGCGTCCAATCATTGAGGCGGGTAATAACAATAACATTGTAAACCTTATCCCCCGGGATCCATTCCTCTTCTATACCCTGTGATCCGAAACTGATCGCCCGAAAGAAAAGAACCCTTTAGGGTCAGAGCCACTCTCGTGAAACAAGCAATAACCCCGAAAAGCTATTTTTGCAAGGGCAGATAAAACCGAACAGCCCTCTGGAGATTAAAACATAAGAGCACTCGCCTGCCATATCAACGCCCGGTGTGTGCGGGGGCCCTTGGAAATTGCCATCGGGTATACCGCCCTCTGGAGATTAAAATTGAAGAGCACTGCGATATTAACGCCTGGCTGGCCCTCAGAAATTGCCGCCGGCCAGCGTGGTTCCATGAATTATCTCGATCAGAAGAGGAGCGGTCCTTGACAGCTTCTCATTTTAGTTTCATTAACTCTCGGAGGTCAAGGAGATATTGTCGACGTCCGCATTGAGAGCGGTGTTTCCGTCTGTTAAAGTTTCATCTTGATTGTCTTTGAAGAAAGTGCAACTCTTTCTCTTTAGCTCTCCCCTGTCATGTCGTCAAACTGGCATGTCTGCCTTCTCACTGTCATCTTCTATGTGTGTTTGATTCTTATTTCTCTCTTTTCTTTTCTGCATTTCTATCTCTATATCATTCTTTCTGTCCCTCTGCTCTTTTTCTCTCTCCTCTATCCCCTTTCTCTCCCCTGCTCTCCCTCCCTCACTCTCTCTCTCTCCACCTTTCTCTCTCTCCCTCTCTCTCTCTGTCTCTTTCTCTCCCGCGCTCTCTCTCCCTCACTCTCTCTCTCCACCTTTCTCCCTCTCCCCTCCTCTCTCTCTCTCCCTTTCTCTCTGTCTCTTTTTCCATCTCTGTATGTATGTCTCTCCAATTATTTCTGGTTTCTATGTCTTTTCTTTCTTTTCTTTCTTTCTTTTGTTTTTAATTTAAGACATTCAAGTTACTTTCTCAAATTGGAATCGTGTCAGAAATGCATTTGACAATGACCAGAAACAAAATAGGAGACTCAAAGTATCTATTCCTGTTGTTTTGACTGTACAAACAGTGCATCCTTGGCCTTTTGCTGAATATCAAGTCTATTCTTTCCCAATATCCCTTAGTCTCTGTCTTCTTTAGAATGCATTATAAAGGAATCAGCTTTCATTTAGTCTGGTTTTCTATTTCATTCCCTCTTTCCCAGAAATCATGAAAGTTCATTCTTTTCTGGGCGAACGTATTTTTACCGGATTTTTGCTTTTCTCCGAAGGCATTGTCTCGCGCTTGAAGGAAAAAGGAATCAGGCTTTTACAAATTTTGCTTGAAAGGGAACGCTATGAAGTATCTCATGCACTAGAATATAATAGCTGCATTTTTTTTTTGATGCATCTTAATGAGTACATAACTAAAGAAATGCAAATTCGAGAGGCAACAAGTGATGGATCAAGAGAGAAAAAGAAGGGAAGTTCACAATTGCTGAAAGGAAAATATTATTACAGAGGAATGGTACAAATTGTGGAGGTGTGAAGGTGTCTGTGTGACTTCTATGAGAAAGAAAGAGATAGAGTAGAGTTACTTGGGAGAGAAAGACAGAAATGAGAAAAAGGAGAAAGGAAGAGAGATGCAGACAGACAGAGACAGACAGAGACAGACAGAGACAGACAGACAGACTGACATAGAAAAGGGGGATATCAAGTCTCCAAGATAAGTGATGGATCAAAACGAAGGAGAAAGTGATAGTTACAAGGGGAGAGAAATAAATGAATAAATGAAATAAATAAAAACAGTGCTTATAAAGAGAAGCACAGACTGAAGTTATATGAAAGAGAAAACAGCAACAATTCTTGGAAAAAAAAGATATAGGGAAAGAGGGATGGATGATGACGGTCATTGACCAGGAATTTGAGCATCATTGTGTATTAGAGATAGCTGAAGAACGCTTGGATCCTTCAATGAGAATATCTGTTGGGAGTAATCAGATACATCAGGAGTGACAGAAGACATGTCATTACTCGGGATGTGGGGGAGAGAGAAGAATATTTGTGCGGGTGTGTTTGTCTGCGTGTGTGTGTGTTTGAGAGAGGGAGAGAGGGAGAGAGAGAAAGAGAAAGAGAAAGAGAGAAAAGGAGGGAGCAAGGGAGAAAGAAAGAAAATGACATCGAGGAGATGGAGAGAGACGAAAGAGAATCATATTAAAAGAAAAGAAAAGTTTGATACAGAAAAAGAAAGAAGTAGAGATAAAGTAAAAAGATTAACAGCTTTTTTTTTAGGTCAATGACCGGGAATTAGAGCAGGGCCGAAGAAGTCAGCGGAAAGATAAATTAAGTAAATGGATAAAAAATATCTGTTGGGAGCAGACAGATATATGAGTAGTGATAGAGCACATGTCATTACATTCTAATTAACGTATGATTGATGTCCAAGATAGGTCGTTAAAGAAATCCCTTGTTTCTGTCTCCAAAAAAATAGATCTATAAATGATAGCAATAAAAAGGGAATTTTATTGTGAAATCCCTTGTTTCTCTCCAAGAAATAATTATATCTAATGATAGAAATAAAAAGGGATTAATTTGAATTTTTTTTTGCCGCTGAGAAGTAATATATCAAAAGAATATGAACTATTTAAAGTTTGTTAATGGGTTTCCCTTTCATCAGAATTTTTGTTTTGTTTTGAGAAAGATGTAGTGGATATAATAATTTACCGCAAATTTGATTTATGAGCTTCCAATGAGATCTTGAGAGGGTTTTTAAATTCAGTCAACAAAAGCTGAGGTCTGATGATATAATTCCTATTTCTTTCTTGATATTACTTTTCCATCCCCTTGTCTGTCTCTCTCTCTCTCTCTTATTTTCTTGCGTGATCCCTATCCTTCTCTCTAGCTCCCTTCTCTCCCATTCCCTCCCCTCTGTACCCCTCTCTTTCTCTTTCTCTCTCTCTCCCTCTCTATCTCTTTCTCCCCTTCTCTGTCTCTCTCCTCTCTCTCTCTCCCTCTCTCTCTCTCCCCTTCTCTATCTCTTTCTCCCCTTCTCTGTCTCTCTCTCTCTTCCTCTCTCTCCCTCCTCTCTTACTGTATTTGCCCTCTTTCCTGCCTTTGATTACCTCCTGCCTCTTACTCTCACTCTTACCTCATCTCTCTCTCTGTCACTCACCTCCTCCTATCACTTCCGTTCCCTCCTTCTTCTCCTCCTCCCCTCTTCTTTTGTTCTTTCGCCCTCACTCTTCTTTCTTATCCTTTCTCTTCCATTCTCTACCACTCCTCTGTTGCTGCTCAAAATCAATTTATAGTTGCTGTGCAAAATTCACATTGATACATTTTACCAATTAAATATGAATTTAAATACATCAAATCTTTTCATCTGGTCTTTTTTCTCTTTATTTTCTTTCCCCTCCGCAGTATGCAAAGTCAAAGCTCACAAACGATGTGCAGTACGAGCGATGAACAACTGTAAATGGACGACGCTGTCATCAATAGGAAAAGACATCATAGAAGAAGAAGATGGCGTGGTGAGTTCTCTCATTCTGTCTTTCATCTTATCCTTTCCTTCCCCTTTTCGCACCTGTTATTGATTGTTTATGTTTCTCCTTATATGGTAAGTTCTTATCTATTTTAATCTCATACCTGTAAATACCTTATGATCCATGGTTTCTGTTTATTTTCCTTTGCTTATTTTGTATTGTTCTTAACCCTTTTATGTTAAATTGCGATAGCAAGTTGTTTGTCAGTGGGCCGCAATTTTTGCTGCATTCAAGATGTGCAAATACTCTAATTGGCCATTCTACCAGATCCTGTATAAACAAGCTGACATGTTGGGCATGAAAACTCTCAAGAATATGTCTTTGAAACAGCCTGAATTCATCATACTTCAACCAAACCATCCATTTTTCTGCATCTCTCCACAAACTTACCAGTCTTTATCCTTTCTTTGTACCCTATGCATGTACAGATTGCCATGCCTCACCAGTGGTTAGAAGGTAATTTACCAGTCAGTGCCAAGTGTGCCGTTTGTGACAAGACTTGCGGGAGCGTGCTCCGTCTGCAGGACTGGCGTTGTCTCTGGTGCAGAGAAGTGGTGAGTAACCCCAACTCTTAGCTAATGTTGTATAGAAATACTCAGTAATGTGAGTGGAGATTTGGTCACAATCTCCACTTGGTGCAGAGAAGTGGTGAGTAACCCCAACTCTTAGCTAATGTTATATAGAAATACTCTGTAATGTGAGTGGAGATTTGGTCACAATCTCCACTTGGTGCAGAGAAGTGGTGAGTAACCCCATCTCTTAGCTAAAGTTATACAGAAATATTCAGTAATGTGAGTGGAGAATTGGTCACAATCTCCACTTGGTGTAGAGGAGTGATGAATACTCCCCAAGTCTTAGCTAATGGTACACATGAATATCTTTTAGTGTTATGGAGAATTGTTCACAATTTGCACCTGATGCATAGGAGAGGTGAGTTACCCAACTCTCAGCTACTTTTACACTGGAAAATTCTACAGTGTTAGTTAAGAAGTGGGCACAATCTGCAGTTGATGTAGAAGAATGGTGAGTCAGAAGTCAAAGGAAAATATTGTCCAGAGTTATTGGCTGTTTCATAAGGTTTCTGATATATTTTTTGGTGAATGCAAAGATGCAAATACTTGTGGTTCATATAAGAAGTGTTCAAAATACTGAACTATCTGCCCTCCACATAAAATCTGTAACATTGTTACTCTTTCCTTTATCCCCTCCTATCCCTCACTCCTGAATACTACCCCCTCCCCACCACCACACCCACAGGTCCATTCCAGCTGCAAGGCCCACTACCCCGCAAAGTGCCCCCTGGGTCACTGCCGCCTCTCCATCATCCCTCCCACGGCGCTCAACTCCATGTCCTCTGATGGGTACTGGCAGGCCTCCAAGAACGGGTGCGGCAGCCCCCTCCTCGTCTTCGTCAACTCCAAGAGCGGGGACAACCAGGGCGTCAAGTTCCTCCGTCGCTTCAAGCAGCTCCTCAACCCAGCTCAGGTCTTTGATCTCATGAATGACGGCCCACATATAGGGTGAGTTTGGATTGGAATTGGAGTTTTGAATTGCAAAATGATATTTTGTTAAATTTTGGAAGTGGAATTATGAGTTTGCACCTGACTTTGAAATTTGAGTTTCAAAATGAATTTAGAAATGGGTTTTTAAGTTTCAAATTGGAATACAAAATTAATATTATGTTTGTATTTTTGATTTGTCTGAATTAGAATGTTGACTTTAAAAAGCAAAATTGGATCTTGAGGTTTGGAGTCTAGAATTTTGAATTTCTTGTCAGAATATGAGTTAGAATTAAGTTGGTATTTGGTATCATCACAAACTTATTAATTTTAAAGGACAATTAGAATGTAGAATGTAATTAGTGTTAACATTAAATCACTCAGCTTGAATCCTTCAAACAAGTTGAAATGAAATCTTCCTCTTCTTTCTGTCTGTGCCTCCAGGCTGCGATTATTCCAAAACTTTGACACATTCCGTATCTTGGTGTGTGGCGGTGACGGGAGCATTGGATGGGTGCTCTCAGAGATAGACAAGATGGAACTCCATAAACAGGTAGGTCCAACAAAAAAGAATTGTTTGTAAGATATCAATATTTAAGTCAGAAATAATATTATTTTACTCAGTTTTCGACTTGGATAAAATATTTAGCCAACTTCGGTACTCAGTTTCTGCTTCTTGCTAAGTATTTTACCCTAAATTTAAGACAGCTCAATAGCAGACCTAAGTCAATTATTTTGGATGCATCGATTCGCAGGCCTATGGTTTTCATAAGCAGCGCACAATTATATTAGTGCCCATTTAATGCAACACGTAAATTACGCATTACTTTTGATTGAACTTCTGATGACATGATTAGTTATATCTTATCTTACCACATCTTAAAATTATGATAGGGAGTGCAAACAACGCTATTATTTTTCTTTCTAGGAAACAATCACCATCATACCGAAAGTGATTGATGCTCGACTCCCAATTGGTCGGTGGGAGGGAGAAATTGATGCAACAAATTGTTTTTGCGCAGCATTGAAAGTGCAAGTAACCTTACTCGGTGGACTTTTACCCCATTACCTGCTGGTACCGGGCGATCCCTGTGTTAAGCCTATGGGAATTAGAGAATTCAGGATTTAACGGGTTAAAACTGATGTCAGGAGTGGGATACGAGGGAGGAGGTTGATATAGTTCATGTAGAAGGCAATTAGATTACTCCTATGTGGGTTAGAGTTATCCTACCTAATCAGAGGCTTGCAATCACTGATGCGCTCCATATGTTTCCCAGGTGGGGCGTTGTTTGAAGCCATGGCTCTCTCGTCATGTATTTGTTTTTCATATTGCGGGTGACAAGTTGGGATTCATTTTTAGGTCATCCAGTTGATGAGGGGAGCATTGCTGTCTGTTGCGCGTCAAAGTACAAAAGTTCATCATGATGGAAAGATGGAAGGTGAAAAGTGCGGTGCTTGCTCCGTCAATGATTAGATTGGATGAATTTCATCTTGTATTTTGATGCGCATGAAGAGAAGCTAGTACCCAAGGACAAGTTTGAGGTTAATTGCATTCCTCAAAGCAAATTATAGAAATGAGAACAAATGACATGCATCAACGAATGAAAATTACATTGAGCATCAGTGATTTTATCAAGGACGTCTATCTTGTATTTGTATTTAACTATTACATTGCCACCAGGTGTACAAACATGCATCAAAATTGATGTTGGACAATGTTTTTGCGACAAGTTTTCAACCACAGTGACTGTGTCATTTGTTTATCTTGATATAACAGTTATTCAGTGACATCTAACTTCAAAATTTAAGGACTGTTTTTGAAATATCAAGAAGAAAGACAAGAACTCTTTGTCCCAAAACATTGTCAAATTATTAAGATTATTTTGGGGGTTTAAAATACATTTGATACCAAAGGCATATTCATGTAAAAAGTGCTGGAAGATTTTGTAATTTTTATCTATCTTCAAGGGACTCAACCGGAATATTTATTTAAATCTACTTATTTCACATCTAGAGTAGATAGCATGGGGGCGTTTCACAAAGCCTTTTTTCAATGACAAATAACAAAAGTCAGTGACAAATCTGCTGATAACCAATCAGAAGCAAGGATTTCAGTGGCTTATAACACAAATTGTCATTTTTCACTGATGACAAGTTTTGTGAAACGCCCCCCTCCATTTTCAAACAATCATTGTATATTGACTTTCGACTATTTGCCACACAATCTTTCTGTGCCATACTTTATGTGTTGTCATGGGATAGAGATACTAAAGGCTTCAAGATTATATAACTGTTATCAGTGTAAGATTAATCTATCCCTGTTGTCATGGAGATAATTAAGATCCAAAATGGGTGATTTTGCAAAGCCATTGTGTTGCACAAAGCAGTACTTCTGTCAGTACTTCTGTCAATTGTTGCCCATTGTTTTGTGCAAAATTTCATGTGGCAAACAAGTAACCATGCAGAGAGGCTGGGATAATGTGGCACAAAATATATTCCCTCCCACTGACGTGAAACAGAGGAAATTGTTTCTATTTGTTGGACAATTGGGTTGATTTTCTTTTGTCCAAACACTTTGTTCAGCACTTGAATTCTTGGCAGAGATTTGCCACTTGAGTCGGGGAAGGGGATTGTGGAGTGCCACTCAAGAGCTGTAGCTCAGCTTAGTACTGTCATGGAAGGCTTTCGATGCAGAAGATTGTGTGGTTCAGAGGAGCTAAAATAGATTGCGCTGTACTTTTTCTGGAAGAGGAAAATATCAAAACAATGGATGTTTGCAACAAGCTTAGTTGTGATGTTCAAGTGCCTGCCTTTCTAGAAATAGAACTCTCCTCTTGAGAAATTCAAAGTAAAACTCCTTTCTTGAGATATTTGAATTTCTCTTTTTATAGGCCACCATTTGCTAGCCTGTTTTTAATTGATTTAGTTTGAAGCAACAAAATTGTCAATACACAGATATGCATATATGGGACAAAATGCTGACAATTGTTGGTTTTGCCAATGGTGGTGATGTACATAAGTATCATGTTACAAAAAAATTGCTTTCAAATATAAATTTGAGCAAATTATAAGCATTTGTGGTTTGAATGCTATTTTTTACATGAAATTAAAACACATTTCTAGATTAATCCTAGCCATTATACATTTGACTTGAAAAGCATTCTGTCTATTATGGGGAGGAATTAAATACTGTGTGTGAAAGACCGTAGAAAGTAAGGTTGTTTTGTCGAGAACACAATCTTTCCATTAACTCTCTTCCATCAAACTTTTGTTCTCTCTATGCCAAACATGATAGCTCAAATACCACTCTCTTTATCTTTCTTTACCTCTGCTGGTTTGCCATGAATAATTCAATCAAAGCCCGCTGCATCTTTTCCATGACTGATTATCCATGTGGGCCGTAAGTTAATTAAGTAGGGATTGGTAAAAGCCCCGGGTGTTCCGCCAATTTGATTACGTGGCCAGCTGTGAAGGTTTTTTGTTGGGCCGTAATGAAATTAGAAATACCAAATTGACTTCTGTTTCTTTGGGACATGCATTACATGGTAGGCGAAAAGCAAAAACAGAATTAGAGAAGACTGACGGTCCAAGTTAACCACTTACGTATTTAATTAATGTGATCTGCATGGCATATGATGGAATCTTTTTCCATGTGTGATTGGTATTCAGAGATTCTAAATTTAGCGGGTATACCAATGGCTGTATTATATTACAGCAGAAGGATAATTTGAAATAGCAGATTGCCATTTAGTGCATTACGGAACTCAACTCAATACATATGGGTTTTTTATTTTGTGTATGTGCAGCCGGTTACTAATGCAAGTGACATTCTTTGAGATTCAAGATCCTTGTCTTACTATGTCTTACACATGAAGAAATTTGCCTTCCATTGATTTATAAAAACACCAAGGATCATCCCATGAATAATTCTAAATCGAAATCTAAAATCCACTTGCAACTCTAACCCTAACCCTTTATTCATGTATATGTACCTCTGATAAAGTTATGCCTGGAGCAAAATCTGCAAGAGCAAATGTCAGATCACCCATAATGTACTTGTTGATGTCATGGAATATACTTGTGTTTAGGGTCAGACAAATGTGAGTCTAATGATATGTGAAGGATACATGAATGATATTTTTATGCCCTTTTTTCATCCTAAGGGCATAGATCAGGGTGTGATGATTTACTAGCTTGTCCATGAAAATGATAAATATCTATCAACATTAATCTACCTTATGCAAATACAAAGTTATCAAGTACCTTTTAGACCTCGGTAGTGTATAGTGGCAATTTAGTTTTCCCAAAGAACTCTCGTGCCAGACTGGGATTTGAACCTGCAACCTCTCAAACAAAACTCAAGGGAACCAACCACTCGACCACTTCACCTCCACAAGTTATCTTTGCACCATGCACCATTTAGGCCAAGCCATCTGCCAGCTATGTCATCCATTCAGTCACTCAGAAATGCCAAAATTGTTCTACTATCTGTCTATCTCTACTGAGCAATTTGCTACCTATGGTATCTGTCAATTTCATGTATGAAATTCGCTTCTATCCCCTGCTAGCAGCTGGGATGTCCCAGATTAGACTCCAGCGCTGCACCTGTCTGTAGCCAAAGGGCACTCAAAGTGCACTCTTTATTTATCAGAAAATGATAGCCCATCCCACCCCAATCCATGCACCCCTTTCAAATGATGTGAGTTTTTTTTCTGCCATGGGCTTTCAATGGAGTTACTACTGGTCATATATAGTTGTAGTTCTGCTTTTTTAAATTTCTAATGTCTGATGTGTTTAGCTGTCTTTCAGTAAAGCATGCCAGGTATTATAGACATCAATCTGTAAGTTTAAGCAGATTAAGCTTAAAGGAACTAAAAATAAGTGTTTACAGATGAGGTCCGAGGTGATCATTTAGGGCCTGGTGTGACAAATTGGGTGCTGTGAGTGTTTATCCCAGGTTATACCAAATGGTATTGAACCAGATACTCGTCAAACAGGGCATCAGGGCTCCTTTTCATAGAACTTGTTATCTATAACAAAAGCTAAAATTCTATGACAAATTTGCTCTCAGCCAATCAAAAGACTTCAAAAGCTTATAACAGTTATTGTAGCTTGTTATTGATATCAAGTTTCATGAAACAGGGCCCAGATCAGATCCAATCAATTCTTTAATGTTTGTATTTTGATGTAAACGTATATTGTGTTATCTTTCTCTATCATATATTCATACTCCTCAGGGAGCAGATCATATGCACTATCATGTGAGGATGAGCAATTGAATCCAATGACCGGGCTGATGATAAATACAATGTAAAGCGCTTAGAAATGTAGTATTAGGCGCTACATGATGTGACTATCATTATTAATCAGGAATACTTTTTTCCCTATCTTTGCAGTGTCGTATAGGTGTCCTGCCCCTGGGTACAGGCAATGACCTTGCTAGAGTGCTAGGCTGGGGGACAGCCTGCGATGACGACACTAATCTACAGGTCATACTGGAGAAGTTGGAGATAGCTAGCACAAAAATGCTGGACAGGTAAGACTATCACATTATCAAGTGCCTTGTTTGCTGATTTGCAAAGATAATGAAATGCTGATGATGATGCTCCTGCTGATGTTAACTATGATAATGGTGATGATGATGATTGTAACAATGAAAGTAATGATAATCATAAGAAGATATTTCAAATTCTGTGAAAGGAACAGGTATTCTGTTCACCTTAGTTACATCTAAGTGAATAGAACAGCTATAACTTTCACCTCCTAGAATAGTTTTACCATCTCATTCATAATCATTAAGTAGTGGTACATCTCAAGATGGAGCATTTGGAAACAGGAGTTCCCCATGGCACACCTACAGGAGGAAAAAATTCTACTATCTCACTCATAATCATTAAATAGTCGTACTATTTCCCTCCCTAGATTGAGTATATGGACACAGGAGGTCCCCATGACACACCTACAGGAGGAAATAGTTTACTATCGCTCAAAATCATTAAATATTTATACTATTTCCCTCCCTAGATGGAGCATATGGACACAGGAGATGCCCATGGCACACGCCGAGGAGGTGACACCAGGGGAACCAGTGGAGGGGGACAACAAGATGGGCGAGGTCGGTCTGGACGCTGAGAGCCATCGAGAGAAGGAGATGATCTCCAGCTATGAGGACTCTGTGGCAACGCATCTTGCAAAGATACTCCACTCGGACGAAAACACAGAAGTCATCTCCTCAGCAAAGTAGGTTTTCTTAGAAAAAAAATAAAGTATTTAAACATTTAGAGGAAAATCCATACTTCAAAGCAAGTTTCTCTGAAGGAAAGCAGTAATTATGGATGGACGTTTGATGAAATCTGATAAGAAAGTTATCAAGTTGCGAGTTTTTAAAGTTGTAATCAATCAAACACAATTGACAGCTCTGTGACATGCAAGTTCCTTTCAAGCAACTCTCTTATTCGCTCTGTGCCAAAAAAAAAAATGAATTTCTTTGTCCAGGGTGCATGAAGACTGATAACTATCCCTTCTCAATTGTTCTTCTTCACAGGGTGCTATGTGAAACAGTGAAAGACTTTGTGGAGAAGATAGGACATGCTTACGAGGAAGGTGGATCCCATTCCAAAGACGCACAGATCATGAAAGAGAAGGTGAGTTATCGCTCTTTTCATAAAACAGTTCGAGGACACATGCTCCAGTGACCAATGCTCTGTTGTCAATATCCTACACTAACCAAATACTATCCCCTTTCACGCCAATCATGCAGTTTGGCTCAATGTCTTTTGATAATTGTGTATTTAACTCATTTGTGGAGTGATATATAAAAACATGTTTTTTGTTATTAGTAAGCTCCAAATGACCTATGGTTTTAAGTCCTTTGAATGAAATATGCTGAATTGAGGATCAGGTGAAGAAAAAACAATCAATCTATCTACATACACTATATATCCCATAGCTCAGAGGCCATTGGGGCAACAATGTGATTGATAATAAAGACACAAGTTCTCTATAAATGCTAAAGCAGGCTTAAGTATATTCACATGTACTTCAGCAGAGTCTCATGGTTAGTTGAATGCATCTCATGTCTTTCAATAATAATAATAATAATATTGGATATTTATATAGCACTCGTATCTACCATGCATGGTGCTCAGGGTGCTCCAACTATTACCCCGGCTCTGCTAGGCAGCCGATTTCAGTGCTCACAGCATTCAAGGAATTCCTTCCTACCGTTACCCATTTAACACATATCTTTTTTTTATCACCTGGGTGGAGAGTGGCAAATGTAGATTAATATCTATATTTTACTATTTGACTCACAGTGCAATCTCCTGAACGAGAAGCTGAACCTACTGCTGCAAACCCTCAAGGTGGAAGCTCAGGCAACGCCCATACCCCCTGGATCCATCCTCCCCATCATCACGGCCGCAGCTGCCGCCGCTGTTACCACCACCACCACCACCTCGGGCGGGGGCATGGGCACCCCTACCATCCTGCCCCGCTCCCCATCATTCCATGGCTCGGAGAAGCATCTGGAGGAATCCCAGGAGAAGGTAAATGTTGTGTGTATGATGGGTTTTGCGCCAACCTGAAAATCAGTATATCTGACGCTTTGCAGGAAAGTACCTGGATAAGTGTGCAGTTTTATCTCACGGTTAGTGAAAACGGAACTGAATTGCATCGACTGTAATTGAATTATGTGGAATATGACTGAATTGAACTAGAATTGAATTGAATTTATTTGAACAACTGAATGTAACTGAATGCAATTGAATTTGATTGAATTGAAGGACGTCTGTGAGAGCAAGGATGGGGTCGGAGACGGGGACATCCTGGAGCAGATGATGGGTCCCTCGACGTCGTCCAGGGTCTTCAAGCCTCGCGATGCACTCATGTCAAGAGCTAACAGCCTCAAGAAGGCTGTCAGACAGATCATTGAACAAACAGAAAAGGGTATGTCATCAACCAAGAACCAAATCTTTCTAATATCTCCTAGCTGTAGGTGTATTTTTCTTTGGACAAAATATTGAATGAAATTTTTAAAAAAAGTGAAATTGAATATAGTTTGTTTGTAACTGTTCTACATAGTCCAGTGTCATAATATTTGACAGTGATTGCAAGTTATTGATATCATTGAATTTGATTTGATGTAAGCAATTTCTCATAAAATGTGGCAGATGTTCTTTACAAGTTTGATGAATTTGGCCTCTGAGCATTAGTTCAAAATATTCCACGATGAACATTTGATAAGTTTTGAATTTTAGAGAATCAAATTTCAGTTTATGCCTTGACATCAAAGAACCGAATGCATGAGGCATTTCTCCATTTCAGTACTGCATGGCACTCCTTGCAACTACTCGCCTCACCTACCATCTCAGTATAGCTTCCCGAGTGAGCTGCTAAAGGGATTACTCCATCAAGTATCAAGAGGCCCATCGTATACTACACTGCCTGACTGCAGTCAGATTCAGGAAGACTTTGAAATAATAATAATAATAATAGCTTGATCTTATATAGCGCTTTTCAGGACCACAGGCCCTCTCAAAGCACTTTACAAATATACATTACCCCGATCATCAGATTCAGGCTTATCCGCACACAATGTATGCACATTCTCCACTCCCTGGGGAGCATTCCGAATGGCATCTGACTCTTTGAGTCCTTCCATTGAGGATAAACCCAGATTTTCTCTCTTGTCCCTTGCAGCGGTTGATGAACAAAACGCACAAACAGAAGAGCAAGAGGCCAAGACTATCAAAGCCATTGCAGCAACAGCAGCTGCAGCGATAACCAGTGCTACCACACAGGGTAAGGATGTAGGGCTTAAAGCACATCTGTACTAGTTTACAGGAGGGATTAGACCACCCTGCAAGGTCACTGACAGGTGGTTATCTCATCAAATCAGCTCTCAATTAACATAAGAAAAAGAGGATAATGGGGGACCAATGGTCAACGATTAGGCATTGTTTGCTATATAGAGGGCGCAAGTAGCATTAAGTATTGCAGTGGGGCTTTAACTCTTTATTTGCCATGGATAGAAACCTTGGATTGCCACATTGTTGGGAGTGCATCTTACTGTATGTGTGCTAAAGGTTGAAGGTGGCATTCACTTGTTTGTTCCATTGGACAACCACAGCTGGTGAAGGGTTAACTACAAATATCCTACCCCACATCAGTATGATTTATTCAAGGGTCAGGGTCAGAGTTGGGGTTGAGGTGAAAGTTAGGATTAGGGTCAGGATTAGTTTTAATTGGGGTCAGGGTCAGAATTAGGGTTAGGGTCAAGGTCAGGGGTTACTTGGCAATTTTTATGAAGAATATTGTCTTTGCTTTCACAACACCAATCTAGAGGGGTACGTCTGAAAGATGAGTCCCTGGACTATTAACCAATGCCTTTTGGCAATACATCAACCTGTTGCTTCTTTCCACCAAGGGTAAAGTAAACTGGTAAATGTAACCAATAGGAAGAAATCGCTTGAGCACTTAAGCATGGTAGCTCTGTGAAAGCTGGCATATATGTTACTTTATATATTACCTGATGTCTTGTTGGTTCATTGCAGGGCCTATCAAGCCTAAGGTAACCATAGTAACGCCGTCCAGCGACCTGGAGATGTCCGACGACGACAACAACCAGTCTGCCAAAGTGCCTGACTCCTCTGGATCGACCAAAGAGGACCCACAGGGGGGTTCCAGATCACCCTTCTCCATCTATGTCTCATCCACCAAGGCTAAGATTGAGAAGAAGAAAGCGGGTAGGAATGACCTCAGAATCATCTCTGTTGAGGGGCCTTGGGGGGGGGGGGGTGTTTCACAAAGACTAAGATCGACTTTAAGTTGGACTTAACTATGGCAGGCCATTCATGCCACTGGTTGCTCTCGCTATTGGTCTCTCAACTATGATCTTTAGATAATATTTTTTGTCTTCAATGATGAATTATCAAAATATGTAGATTTGTGACCCCGATTTATACATCCCTTGAGAAACCAATGCCAGGAATGGTCAGAGGAACTAGTGGCATGTATGGCCTGCCATAGTTAGGTCCATCTTAAAGTCGATCTTAGTCTTTGTGAAACACCCTCCTGGGATGGTACAGTCAAGCCCGTCTATTGAGGCCACAAAAGGGAAACAGAAAAAGTGGCCACTGTAGGTGGCCTTTCTAGACAGTTTCTGCAAAATTCATTTCTCTCTCTCTGGGGAGAAAAGATGCATGGCCACTATAGACAGGTTTGAGTGTATTTTGAAAACCCTTTGTTTATCTTAGTTAAAAATATGCAAATGTCATAGCAAATCTCTATTGGACTTTTTTTAATGTTTGCACATAGCTGGAGGCGTACACTTATAGTTCTAACAGAAGACATCTGCGTGAGCATCAGTCATAATCATGCGTGCGTAATTCTGCACTGGTTCAACTCGTTATGACCATTAACCTACTTTTCACTAGCATAAAGAAGAAGCAGTTTTCAGAATATGCCCAGTGGCATTTTATTTCTACAGTCAGATTGAAAAATAAGTTTGTAGTCTTCAACCTCATTCACTCTAAATGCAATTAACCCCTCAAAAATTCTCCAGCTGCAAAATAGAAACTCTTCTGCCGTTGAATGACGTCAAGTAAGAATGAAGAAGGAGTAGGCACATTCAACAAAGGCCCTTGAGGGTACTTACTGACCTATGTGTCATACATGTATTAAAGAATGATGGAAATGTGAAATAATAATAGTCTCAATGCAAATGCCCATACTATGTACACGTAAGTATCTATATCTGTTTCTGAAAAAGTAAAAGCTGAATTTTCAGTCGAACTCAGTAGCAGGACATTTAGCAGTTGTGGGCTGGATCTACTGCCTAGAACAAGGAAGAGGCCATGATGCAATACTTAGAATTAATCTTATTGCTGATGTTTTTTAATAGAATATTTTAGCATGAATGGGGACTTTTATTCCTTCTGTAATCATCCTTATCCTTTCTTGTTCTCTTTTTCAAAAAACAATTTCTTTACATATAGGGATAATTTTATTCACCAAACTCCATCTTTCTATCCCTCTGTAACCGACAATATTTCTCCCTCCCTCCTCCTCTTCTCTTTCTCTCATTTACTGACAAAATTCTTTCTGAATTGGCATTCCCTTTGTTAACCCAACTATCTCCAGAGCGCATTGGCTTGAAATCGCCACGGTCTCCATTCAGGATGCGTCGCATCAGCCACGGCAGCACTCTCTCCTCCCATCATGGTTTCGGGCCTGTCGGTGTTTCTCAGAAGTTTGGCAGCATGGAAAACATTTCCATTTTGCCAGGCAAGTGATGTTTCTCTGTCTACTTTCCGGCCCCGTGGTGGCTGGCCGGCCTGTTCTTTTCGTTTGTCTCTTGGTCATTTGTCAGTTCGTCTGTTTGTCTCTCTGTTTTGTTGTTTGCATGATGCATGGAATATACAACACATGCTCCGGTGACAACTGCCCAGAGAGGGGTTTCCATCTTCAGCCCTGAACCCACACTGTACGGAACCACAACCAACATCCTTCTCTTAAACCACATACGTACCCAAGACCTAACCCTGTATGGGTGACGATATAAAACACCAGGGGTGGATGTCACCAGAGCAAATGTCGGAAGATCATTGCATGTGCCTGATAGTCATTCTTTTGCATGCTGAACATGTTGCTTGTATTCTTCCGTTGTTTCATGATTCTCATGGCTTCTTGCACATCCATCAGCCTGGACTGGCATGTGGCCTTTGGCCTTGTTGATCCGTTGCGCCCATCTGTCATACCTGCCTTGAGACCTTACTCATTCAACATCAACCATTTTCTTCTGTTTGTTGCATGTTGTGATGCACTTGATGTACAGTTTTCTGATCGATAGTTTGTCAAGCAATTGACAGTCGGCTTTCCGGTCTTTACATCATCAAACTCTCAACTTTCTTTCGGAAACGTATCCATCACATAAACTAGAACTGCTTCTAACAATAATATTCCTTTTTTTTTTCTCGCTTAGTAACACGTTAAAGTTCTTTGCAGAATCTTGGCATGTGGTATCATGCATTGTGCAGTGTTACATGTTTGATTATTGACTGTGTTCCTTCTGTATTCCCTTCCATTTCCTTGAATATTGTCCTCCAAATCTGTAAATTACTGTTGTTTTTTAACGCATGTCTTTGATATTTGTTTCCAGAAGTACTAACCCATTTTTGTAATTCCTTACTTGCATGCATTCCACTATGCACCATTAATCAACATCACAAACATAAAATTTGTTTAGTTTGTGAAAGGATCATGTACATAGAGCTTTAGAACTTAATATTGCCTGTAAGAATAGATTGTTATTAGGAATAGAATGATTTTGATTTCTTCTTACAAAGCTACATAAACTTGAAGTAGGAGTAGTGTAGTGTTGCTGGTAGTAGTAGTAGTAGTAGTAGTAGTAGTAGTAGTAGTAGTAGAAGTAGTATCAGTAGAAGTAGTAGTAGAAGTAGTAGTAGTAAAAGTAGAAGTAGAGATAGAAGGAGGAGAAGTCATAGAAGTAGCAGTAATAGTGGTAGTACTATCAGTCATATTGGCACTAACACTGGAAATTTATGTAGTAGTACTTTGTATTGTACATCTGTATTTTTGGATTTTGTCAAACTAACACACATTTACGAATCATCCTACTATAGAACATTTATTGAGAGAGTAAGATATATACATGGTACTGTTTAGTAGATTCATTTGATGACATTAGTTTGCAGAATATTTTTCTTGATAGAATATGACATTCAACATCTTAAATTTTAAAAAGTACAGTTTTATAAACAAAATGTTCCCAAAACAAGCTTATGAATGCATGAAAATCTTGCTTTTCTGCAATCCTAAAATATACATTTTTGAATTGAAAAGTTCTGTTCAGTTTTTACAAAAAAAATTGAATTACACACATGTAGGACGGAAAATCTGGATTGGCATGCACTATAATAGACAGATTTAGGGGCCATTTTACTTGCTCCAAAGGCGATTTGCCTTATTTCCCATGAATGCTTATCACCTTTGCTGTTAACAAATTCTCAATCATCAGTTAAGTGCTTTTTAATTCTAATACTAACATAGGATATGGATTAATGAATGGATTACGTTCATCCTTTAGAGGTTATGTAATCTCCTTTAGACTTTCAGAATCGTGATAGTATAATGATCTATATATATTTTGTGTCCTATGTCTTACAGGTTTAGATACTTTATTAGGACCCAGTTTAGGGCGCACAAACCCCATGCTTAGCAAGAGTAAGTAGCATCATGCGATTGTTTCTCCCCCTCAATTATTCATTTTGAATTGTTATTATTTTTGATGTTTTTTATTATTATTATTATTATACATGTGTCGAAAAGCGCCGTTATCTATATTTGGTGGAGTTGTGATGGGTGTAATGTTGGTTTGATATTTCAGTGTATATATACATTGATGTTTACAATTTAAAAAGTACATGTTCGTGTACTCCAAAGTCTAACAAGTTAAAGAGGTTAAAACTCACAACTGCCAAACTCGTTGGCCCGAATTCACAAAGGAGGTTTGTCGACAAACCTTGGTTTTCGTACGTCATATGACGCGTTTTTACGCGTTTTTTACAAACCTGGTTTGTAAAGAACAAAAGGAGGTTTGTCGACAAACCTCCTTTGTGAATTCGGGCCTTTGCATACAAGCCCCAAAGAGTTTTTGTTTGTCATTGGAGAGCAATTGAAAGATATGCAAGTGTAATGATTAGGGGGAAATCGGTATCTATTCAGTTTGTATTGTGGTCTTGTGGATAAGTCACTGGACTGTGGATCACAAAGTTTTGGGTTCAAATCCCTGCCACAGCACCAACGTCTTTTGGCAAGGGCTTACACTTCATTTGCCACACTCAACCCAAGTGTATAAAATGGGTACTGGGTAGGACTATTCCATTAAGTGCACTGTACGCTGATCTTGTTTACCAGAGCCAAAAGAAACAAAGGGTTGTAACTTCCACAGCTCTTTGGAAGCACACAGGGATGTCATATTATAATGTGACATGTTTCTTTACAAGAGTAAATAAGAAAGATAACCAACAGTCCTTTTCAGGACTACAAACTCTCAAGAAAGATTACCGAGAGTCCTTTTTAGGACTCTCTCTCACATGATGCACCCGCAAGCTTACTGTATAAGAGTAAATATGTGATATTAATATATTTCATTGTTGTTGTCATTGTTATTATTTTCGGTGTGATCAGTATCATCATTGAAACGATTTCCTTGTTTGCACCTGAAGGTATAGGAACGCTAGCTGGAGGAATGGGCGGTGCGGGCATCATCAGTAAGGTACTGCTGGCTAACGCCGATGCTCTGTGTGCTGCAGCGTCTCCACTTATGGATCAAGATACGGAGAAAGTGTGAGTGTGCAAAAAGGATAATCTTTATTACTTAGAGTGATGCACTGTACAAAATACAGTATGGAATATGGAAAGGACCAAAAGAAAATGCTTGTGAGGAAAAATCTGATCCTAGTTGTGTTGTATAGTGCGTTATTGGCAAAAGTGATGATTAAATCATTTATAATCAATTTGTATTATTTCATGAGGATTTCATGTGTTTAGGTAACTCTGTCTATCTTGATCTTGATTTTCATTGAAAGTCAAATCCTAGTTGTGTTGTAAAGTGATAATTAAATCATTATCTTTTTTTTGTTTCTTATTGGCTTCATATTTTATAGAGAGGGCTTTTCAGAATCCTGTGTGATGAACAACTACTTTGGAATCGGACTGGATGCCAAGATCACCCTAGACTTTCACAACAAGAGGGAAGAACACCCAGAAAAATGCAGGTACGTTCCCCTTGAGAGTGCCAAATAAGGCCCGGGTTACACCAAAATAACTGAGTTGGACCTTATCTATAACCTGGATATTTGCTAGCTTTGGCCCTGGTAACATCAAAATAATCTAGTGGAGACCTACTCGTCATCTAAGACCTACCAAACACCTACATTTTTTGAGACAGGTTTTAAAAAATAGCTTTACTGTAGCTTTCATGAATGTTAGATCCCTGTTACTTCAACTTGCCTGCAGCTTTTTATCCCAACACTTGAAAAGGATGATATGTGTTTAAAAGTGAAGTCCACCCTGATACTAAGCTGGTTTTTTAAAGGAGAATAAATGAGGGAATTGTGGATTGTGAAAGTTTCAGTGAATTCCGATTGAAAATAACAGAGGTATGCATTTTTTAAAGTCGCGATCGATCAAACATGAATTGGCAACTCTGTGTGACGTATCTCAAGAGGTCTCCTCCTATTTGCTGTGTAGTTAAATATCATGAATCCCTCTCGACTTAAATGGGTACCTAGCAGTGCTGGTGTTAGAATCCAAGGCAGGGCCCTCCAGAAGAAGATCAAGACAGATAAGTCTGCGTTATTATTATTACAATGTTCCTTTTGAAGACAAGACTGTCCTTTGTCTGAATCCTTGCATAACGGTATGGGGTTTTTCGATCCCCTCCAGAAGTCGCACCAAGAATATCATGTGGTATGGAATGTTGGGGACCAAGGAGCTTGTCCACCGGACGTACCGCAACCTGGAGCAGAAGGTTCAGCTGGAGTGCGACGGACAGAGGATACCCCTCCCCAGTCTGCAGGGTATCGTGGTCCTCAATATCCCCAGCTATATGGGCGGGGCCAACTTCTGGGGGACCAACAAGGAAGATGAGGTAAGGAGGTTGTGGAGGTGGAGGTGGTGGTGGTGGTGGTGGTGGTGGTGGTGTTGATGTTGAGGGTAATGGAACCACTGATTGTGTTGGTGGTAGTGGTGGTGATGGAGCCAGTGATGATGTGGAGAAGGAGATGGAGGAGGATGGTGATGATGATGATTATTGTTATGACAATGATGATGGTGATGATGCTGATGATGATTCTGCTGCTGCTACAAATGATAGTAATGATTAGGATGATGAAGGTGATGATGTGTCGTAAACCAAACATCCAACTCCTTTACACCCACAGACCTTCACAGCGCCCTCTTTTGATGATAAGATTCTTGAAGTCGTAGCAGTCTTTGGTGGGATGCAGATGGCAGTGTCAAAATTGATTACCTTGCAACATCATAGGATAGCCCAGGTTAGTACCTACACCTGTAAATGTAGCAACTATATAAATATTAAACTGAACTTCTTCTTGCTGGTATTTTCAAAATAAACCTACAGAATTAAGCCTCCAGTTTTTAGAACTGTGGGTTTTATTTTGTTGTCCCAGGTTCAAACCAGTAATTGGAGGATTGTACCCCATTCATTGAAATGTCATTCCTAACATTTTCTACATGTATAGTGTCACATGGGTAACATTCCCATTTTGATTACTTTATATCTTTCTATGTTCTATTGTCAAAATCAATCTTTTTTAAATATTTTGTTTTTTAACAGTGTCACATGGTAAAAAGTTACCATTTTGATTTGTTTCCCCTGCAGTTTCCTTTGCTCAAACGTTCCTTTTTATTTTTGTTTTATTTTGCAGTGTCGAGTGGTCAAAATCACCATCTTAGGTGAAGAGGGAGTCCCTGTACAGGTGGACGGAGAGGCGTGGGTTCAGCCCCCAGGACTGGTCAAGATTCTGCACAAGAACAGAGCTCAGATGCTAGTTAGAGATAAGGTATGAGATAGAGAGAAAGTGATGGGGAGAGAGAGAGAGAGAGGCAAACCAGTATTATCTAGACACGGAGGGTTAGAAAGAGAGGGTAGATGAGGAGGCGTGAGTTGAGCCTCCAGGACAGGTTAAGATCCTGCACGAGAACAGAGCTCGGATGCTAGTCAGGGATAAGGTATGAGACAGAGAGAAAACAGATGAAAGAGAGGGAGAGAGGTACAGGTGAACGAGTATGAGGGTTAGAAAGAGAAGGTGGAGGAATAAATGATGGCCATCAGAAAGCATTGTGATTCTACGCAAGAACTTAGTTCAGATACTAGTCAGAGATAAGGTATGAGATAGAGACAGGTGAAAGAGAGAGAAATTAGGGGGGATGGAGAGATATGGTAGCAGTAGGGTAGAAAGAGTGAAAGTGAGTTAGGGTTTTTGGGTGCCATACAGTACAGTTTCCATGACTGAGTGATATATTCTTTACAAGAGTAGGGCTCAAATACTGATTAGAGCCAAGGTACAAGATATAGAAAAGAGAGAGAGAAGGATGGAGAGAGGGATGAAAGAGTATGTGCTGAAGATAAAGGGGTAGAAAGAGTGAGGATGAGGGGTCATCAGAATAAATAAGTATGGCGACCAGGGCTCGTTAACATTCTTACAACATAAAGCTGAAATGATGGTCACATATTAGAGAGGGAGAGAGATGAAAGAATGAACTGGAGGCAGGGAGGTAAAGAGAGTAGTAGGGGTCTCTATGTAGACTTAGAACTGTCTCAAGCTGTGTCTTCTTCTTCTTCTTCTTCTTTACGTGCCATTTCCTGAGACATTGGCGATCAAGGAATGCCACAACTCTCTCTCCCATATTCTATGAAGTAATTCATTCTCCCCGAGATCAATTCCACTTTCAGAAATACCACTCCTTAAGCTACTCATCCACAGAATCCTCCTTCTACCCTCTATTCTTCCAGTCAGTGCAAGATTTTCCAAGCTCTATGCACATCCTTATGGCAACTTTTATCATTCCCTGACAGCATTTTGAGAGTACCCTCAAGTCATGGACGGAGAGGAGAAAGATAGAACGCCCTCTGCAGCCCCTCATCAACGAGGAGATTGAAGTCGTGAGGCATTTCTGCGGTACAACGTCCCAGCTTATTGACACGTAAGTCAGTGCTCTGAGGTGGGATATACCCAAGCAGTGGAAGGGATATACTTGTGTGGTTGGGTTTTCTGCACTTGTACCTTCAATTGTGCATAAATTGACCATTTGAAATATAAAAATATTGATAGCTTCTAGCCAAATTGCAGTATTTTTTTTCTTCCTTTGTTGCTTTGATTGTGATATCCAGATTGAGTTGGATAGTACTTTTGAATTTGAAGGACAACTCTCCTTCAGCTGTGCAGCTTGGAGTAAAAACAGTTTCTGAAATTTTGTGACACCAGATTCCCATTTATTCTTTGGTCAAATTTATGGGCCTCCCAATAGTTCCCTCTATATAGATTGCGGCAGTCCACGCTCTCGTTGTATAAATCTAAAAGTCCCTATTTGAGCACGCACAAATGTCACAGCTTCATACATCTCTATTAGCTATGGTTATCGGTTTACTTCCTACAATGTTATTCATGCATTCTTTCCCTCATCTTATTTCCATGGTTACAGAATCAAGATTGCCGCCCAGCACAGCAGCCCCATACAGTCCGAGCTCCTGCACAAGGCCATGGCGACCGCTGCCTGCCAGGAGCGTCTCTTTAGCACCGAACGATCGACGGAGGGGATGAGCAGAAAGGTCCTTAACGAGGTTGTGGTCAGCGCAAGGAATCTGTACAGTGAGAGCAGTCTGTTCATGGCTAGAAAGGCGTATGCGCTGGTAAGTAGGATGATCAATGATTGTCTTATCTGACCGCTAAGAAAGCAGATATATACTTGTAATTAAACAACAAGGGGATCAATGGCTTTAAGTCCTCTCGGAGGGACTTGGTAATAAGGATTAATACCTTACCAAAGGGCACGTGTGCATTGACTTGGCACCCTGGACCTCCCGATTACGGGACCACTGCTCTACCCCTGAGCCATCGTGCCTCCTCGAGTCACTAAATCAGTGAAACAGTGGCCGGAATTAAAAAAAGAGATTTGTTTTAGTCCCATGACCCCAAATTTTGTAGATGTAAGTATAGAGGGGTCCCTTTGAGTGCATTTTCGAATAACCATTCCCAAGGTGAATAGCTTAGTTTTCCCTTTGACAGAATACTTCCACCTGTATATCATGGGTTGCATTGTTAGGATATAAATGAATATTGATCCTTCACTTCCAAGAGCATATACATGCAAGTGATATTCTGTTTAGATGGACGTCACATTTTGGTACAAATGCCCATTTTTTGGTCATGTGCAGACTGCAACTATGACTTAAATATTTCACACATAGATAAAAGAAATCTGTAGTAGAAATTAAGCATCTAACACAAATAAAACAACAAAATTCAATTTATCACAATTGTTATCTATTTTCTTCCTGACAGCGATTGCCAGAGAACATCCTAGAAGCACTCAACCATGACATCAACGCCGTGGACAACGAGCTGCGCAAGGTGTCGACCATAGAGGGAGCTGTCTGCTATGTGGAGGAGGAGGGGCACCATCACCACTCCCATATACCGGTGGATGTGTACAGGAAGCACACCAAGGGGAAATTCAAGATACCCATGGTGTCGAGGTTTAAGAAGCCGACGAAGAAGGACTTCAAGTCGTCAGGTGTGACTGGAGGTGAGATAAGGAGAAATAGAAGGGGGGGAGGGGAGGGGTTAATGGAGGTGGTTTTATGACACATCGTTTTTTTTTGGAGGTAGAAGGTGTTACTCGTATCATTTTACACCTAGTTAAAGGTAAAGACCAGTTATGGTCATGCGATTGCATTGTAAAAGAAACGTTGTGGAATCGATCAGAAAAGGTTGATCATCTAGCATCTGGCATCTGCAAGGTTCTGGAATCATCAAAATGATAAGAAATTTGGCCCATTCTTCATAAAGTTACAAGCACTATACACAGAAAGATGTATATGGGACTACCCTATATCTCTCACAGACCATGAGAGAAACAAATTTACCAAATATATGAATTAGTAGGCGGTTTCCCGGCAAATTTTTTATCATCATGTATTAGTCAAAACATATTCTTTCACATGATTGGTAATAAGAGCTTCCATTTCATTTTTTGAAATTGGGGCGTTTCCAATACTGGTCTTTACCTTTAACATCTTTCTGGCTCCAAACAGACACGCTCCTGCAACTATTGCTCCACCGTCAAGACAATTTCCCATAATAACCAAATTCCTATCTTCAACCCGGGAATGAACACTTTACCCAAGCTCCAGTCCTAAAAGTAAACCCACACACCCTTTATTTTTGAAGAAAAAAAGCCATGAGCAATTGTCACCAAAGCAAATGTCGACTAAAATCGATGCAACATTTATCAGCCTCAGGTACCATTTGTCTGGCGCATGTGTGATAGAACCTTTCCAATGAATATTTGTTCTTATGTCAAGGGATTTTTTCATGAATTTGTTTAATTGTTGGGTTGCGACTTGAACCACATGTGAAAATTAACTTGCAATTCAATTGCAAACATGTATTGTAACTTTGTAAGTAGCCCATGTTAATTATTGTGAAAATATGAAGTCGTGAAAATATCTGTGCACCTGTCATCTGCGTAAAAATATGTATGTGAAGATTTGCTTGTATGGTATTTTCAGTGTTTCTTCTCCTCTTCATTGATCAATCATCAGGTCTGAGCGTTGTGAAGCTATGGACCGTCGAGGAGGTAGGGGCGTGGCTAGAGGCTCTGTTGATGGGTGAATACAAGGACCAGTTCATCAGGAATGATATTCGAGGGTCGGAGCTTCTCAGTCTCGAGCGAAGGGATCTCAAGGTAGGACACTTTTTTCTTTTCTTTTCTTCTTTCATCTTTTTTTTGTGCACCTTTTTCAAAGTCTCTCTCATTTTCCTTGTTTTATTTTTTACCATGTTTTAGTTATTTTTTCTCAGTTTAGATTCCTCTCCCTTTCCTCCTTTTTCCTCTCTTCATCTTCTTCTGTTTTGTCCTCGTAATCTCATTATCTACTTTAATAAGATGGTACATAATTATAAAGAAAAAGATTTTTCTTGTTTCATCTTTCTCTCCAGTTCTACCATCTCACACTTTTCTTCAACTAATTCACCCAATTTTCTTTTTTTTCTTCTCAATTTCCTTAGGATATTGGTGTGACCAAGGTAGGCCACATCAAGCGCATTCAACAAGCCATCAAAGACCTCGACAAAAGGGAGGTGATAGAGCCTACAGTGCTGGAGGCGGGACCTTCAGGCAGTGTTGCTCTCTGATTGGTCAGATGGACACAAGTGATTGGACTGATCCATTTTCCACTGAAGGGGTGCATGGTTGAGATAATTTATTAAGTGTACAGGGAGGTATGGAGGTTGTAAATGTTGGTTAGAGGATGATTATACATGTAGGTGCAGAAAAGAGAAAGAAAAGAGGTTTCTTGCTAAGAAAATACCTTCATTTTGGAAAAATCATCTCTGTATTTTGTAGCAATACGACACATAAATCCAATGTAAACTGTTTAGACTGGGAAATATATTTGAGTCTTGCAAAAGAGATGTAAATTTGGTAGGTTGTGGATAGAAAACAGAAAATGAGATGTTTTGACTTATTTATAGAAATGATGGTTGAATAAAAAGGTAATGGTTTAAATTCAGAACATACAGCACAGAAATAAAGGTGAGCTTTTTGGTGATTATTCGACAAGAACATTTCCTTAAGGATGGGAACAGAAATATGGACAGGTGGTCTTTCTATTCAGGTGACGACCACTTGAGCAGGTCCGATTTGACCTTATGCATCCTCATGCTGATACTCAGAGAGTTCATTCATTTTTCGATACAGGTATCACTGAAAAATACAAAAGTGAAATCAATAATAATAATAATCATGTATTGAGATACACAATACTTGTGCAACTATGCAAAATGAGATCTCAATAAGTGGGGCGTTTATAAGACGCATTCAGATTTTATACCAGTGTCATTTGGACATGATGTATACAGATTTTTATCAATGTCATGTAGAACATGAGGTACACCTGATATTGCAACAGCAGGTGTATGCAAACAGTATTCTGTCACAGACAAGCTCATTCATACAGGTTTTGTCTGTTGAGATTCAGGAGGAAGCTAAATGCATGTAATGTATGTGGGATAAGGCCCTTCTGGATCTCGACAGAAAAAATAAAAATAAAAACAAATTATGACAACTCCGCAAAGAATATGAAATAGGGCATCATTTGAAAGCTTTTCAAATGAAGTATTTCAATCTTGTACAAGACTTGTTGCACAAAGTTTGTTTTTAAATATGTACAGGATTAATGAAGGAAAAAAAAAAATTAGAAAACAAGACAAAGTGGTTGATGAAAGATTGTTATGTTAAATAAGAGCAGTATTGTACAGGAGTTCGTGCACAAGATTCATTTTCACCATGTACAGAAATTGTTGAGAGAAAAGAGTAGGAAAAGATAAGGAATGCACCGCCATGTTGTATAGATAAAGCAAGTACCGAATTAGAGGAGCAGGAAAAACAGTTAAGAGGCTTGAACTCTAGTTTGGGAGTAAAAGTGAAGTTACTTTCCAGTCATAGAAATAACTTGAGCTTCAACCATGTGATCTAAGATGTACATTTTTGGAAAGAATTGCCATTTCAATTTTTATTTCAATTTTGAATAGCATTGAAGATTAAGGGGACAAAATTGGGGCTGGACCCCGTTTAATTATGAAAGTATTAGCTTTTCTAGCAAGCTTTTTATGCCAATTTTGTACATAAAAAAATATTGGATATGTTCCCAAGAGCCTGTTTTCCTTCAATTTTCTATCAGTATATATTTATAGACTTGAGAATTATAGGACATTGCATTGAGCACAAACATCCATACGTGTACATGTATTTATCTATTCCATTTTCCACTCTTTAGGTTTTCTCTTATATCTATAATAGTGTTTTTAATCAAAACGTTTTCCCCTGTGTAGTGCAGTCCTTTGGGGTTTTTTTTAAATTATGTATTTATACCTTCCACTGTTAAATCATTCAAAAATTAAACAAAAATTGTTGTAATGCATTTCTTTGATTTCTTAAAATAGACAAAACGTTTATGTATACATTTTTGTTAAAAACATTTCTGTTTGTCTGCAACTTTCATTTGATAGCATTTTAATTCTACATTGCCCTTTTATTTTCATCTCAATTTTTTTTGGGGGGTCTAACATTCTTCAAGCTCCTTTTCCCCCATTTTTGTACTTCATCTAGTAAGTGTATTTGTTGTCTTTTCTTAGAAAATTGTTCAAATCCTTTAATGCTACACTTAAAAGAAGTAAGTCATCATCATTATTTTTTATCTCTGCATATAGTCTGCATTTTGATGCTGCCTTATGTGTTTTCCAAATGTTCTTTTTGCTACATTTTTGTTATTTTCCACAGCAATACAGTCAGAAATGGATTTTGATTGAACAAGCTCTAGGCATGAACATTCCAGTTTAGGTTTATTCATAACAAGCTATTTAACAATATTCCATTTTTGTAGTGTTTAACCAAATTTATACTTAAGTGCCTTGATACAAATTATTTCATTCACCTGTTACAAACTATTGTATTATAATAGTCAGATTGCATATATTGCATGTTGCTAGGTAGGACAAGCAATAATATTTGCCCTACCTAGCAACAACTAATGTATATACTCCAAATTCTGACTATTGAGATAAATTTATTGGTGAATGAAATAGTTTTTATCAAGGCGCTTCATAAAAATATTTGCACGAATCTGGTTACATTGCGAAAATGGCCTATTGCATAACTTTCAAAATTGTTGGGAGTTGACTTATCATTTCCTTAGCATAAGTTTATACATGTTAGAGTTCATGAACTTTCATATTGAGAAAGTCTCAGTTTTACATTGCCACCTCATTATACAGTGAAACCTGTCTATAAAGACCACCAATGGGAGACAAGAAAAGTGTTCTTTATAGGAGGTGATCTTTATGTACATGTTTCAATGAGAAACCATTTTCAAGGGAAACAAAAAAATGTGGTCTTTGTAGACAGGTGGTCACTAAAGCAGGTTTGACTGTACTAAGTTACCTATTTCTTTTCTTTTGAGAGGCACACAGCACAACTAGGTAAGCAATAACCAAATAACTTCTGCCTTGAGAGGAAGTAAGAAAGGGATGTATGGAGAGGGAAAGAGAGAAGAAAGATGGATAGACAGAAACAGGATGAGAGTGGAAACAAGGGGATGTGTAATGAAAGGGGGAGGGGTGAAAATTGGATGAAGAGTAAAAAGATGGATAGTAAAAAGATGGATAGAAAAAAGGAAAAGGAGATAGATTAAATACAGGTAGTTGAAATGCAATTTAACTGTATCATGGAGTACGAAAGGAATGTGTCGACAGGGGGTTGAGTGAAAATTTGAAAAATAAAAGAGAGATTGGATATAGGGTAAGACAGATAGATATATGCAGGAAGATGGAAAGAAAGTCAGAAAAAAGAAATAAAGATGAATATTGAGATGAAAAGAGTGTTAAAGGATAATAGAGAAAAGAAGAGACTGTAAAAGAAGTGAGATGGTAGATAGAAGAAAAAGAAATGGAGAGGAATAGAAAGATAGAAGTGAGAAGAGGATTGAAGCAAGATGGCAAAAGGTTAATGAGGAAACGGAGAAGAAGAGATAAATATGGATGATGGTAAGACACTGGAAAGAATGGAGAGGAACAGAGAAAAAGACACAGTGATGATGGAGACAAGAGGTGGAGATACAGATTGCGTGATGGTGGAAGAAGAAAAAAAAGTGGTAGGTGAAAATTGGCATGTAAGAATTAGAAGAGTGGAGAGTTTGGGTGAAAAAAATGTTTGAGATAGGTAGTGAAAACAAGAAAAAGATAAGAATGTATAGTTAGAGAAAATATGATACAGATGCGATGGACGAAAGGAGATACAGAAAAGAGGAAAGAGGAAAGACGAAACAGGAAATATGTGAATGAAATGATGAACGAGAGGAATGAAAGTACAATGTTGAAGTGGCATTTAGTTTTTGAAGAAAAACATTAAAGAATGAGCATAAAAATTGTGGGATTTGAGAGTGAAATAGCATGGAGATGAGCCTATAATATGACTTAACGAGTTGATCAGCCGTTTAGTTATCCCTTAAAAAACTCTGTCAGGTACTGAATCATTTCCAAATATTCCATTCCATCTTATAATTATAACAATTTTTTTTTTCGCAATTGAAAAAAAAAATCTTAGATTTTCTCACCAACTTTGCCCTCCATGCATGTAAATCTTTCTACACTGTACCTTTTTCAGTTTCCCCCTTTCTAGCTAGATGAAAGAGTTGTGAAGAATGGATTAAGAATTAAAAACAGTATTCTAAACATTGAAATTTGCCAAAAATGCAAGAGGCTGCACTATTATAGTACATGGAATACATGGAATACATGGAATACAAGAATACATCCCCTTCAGCGTACATGGTACGTTTAATAACAATAGTACTGTATTTGTTATAATAGTTCAACTTATGCGTGTAAATCTGCAAGTATTGAAATTAAAGGAAATGTGGGCCTATTACAATAATGTTATGCAACATTTAACTCATGATGAAAATGTTATGCTAAGTATTGTAAATACAAGAATTATTTTTTTGCTTTTGACTGCCCTGTCTGTTTTTAAACCTTTAAAGCTGTTTAGTTCACAATTTGTTTTAATTATTCAGGATTCTGTCATATAATTCATGTCTGGTTTAGCCACCTATAGCAATACACAACTTAATCTTTGAAATTTATTTTGTAATCATAATATTGTTTGAGATATATAATTTGCATTTTATTTGCTGTGATTTTTTTCTGTCACTGTTATTGATTCACAGACATTTTGAATGAAAGAAAAAGTTGATCGGACAACATTTAAATGTTGTGTTATTAATGGGCATATCCCCTTTATCTTGTATGGAAAGCACATTTGGCTTCTTTGGTTAACGAGTATTCTTAATCTCCCCCCCCCCCCCCCCCCCCACACATGCAATTCAATTCTTTGATAACTATGTGAAACACGTTCCCGAAGACTTTCAAGAAAAATTAACTTCAGGGCAATTTCAACACCCTACTGCATTGCTTCAATATAGAAAACATGTTCAGATTATTTAATAATCTATTGCAATGTTCTCCTTTGTCAGGAGGTAATGCAAAGGGCTTTTGAAATTGACCGAGGTTGATTTTTTTAGAGTCTTTGCGATCGTCTTGTGTAGACTCTTTAATACAGTGCAACTATGGCCTTTTGCCAGGGACCTAAATGTTTTCTAATTTAGTGGTATCAAAATCCAATTTCTATACGCACATTTATTCTATAATTTTAACAATGCTGTCAGGCATCGATGGAATTCCTGTTTCGAACAAAACTGTTTTTCTTTGGAGATGATTTTTATTTGGAACAACCGAACTAAACAATCTTTCTCTCACACACCCGTCTCTCTATCCACCCTATATTGAATCAAAGAGATTTATTTTGCTGTCCCTTTGGTGTGCAATTTTTCTCATTTTAAGGAAAATTGGACGATTAAAATCAAAAGGACAAATGCCTGTGCCACTTAGCAATTCAATGTACAAGCAATAGATTTCTCATTTGGTACTTTGTGATATAGCATACACACTTTGTAATCGATGAAGATGATGCCATAAATAATTTTGCACATCGCATCATCCTTTTGTAGATAAAATACAAACAAAACAATACTTTGTAATATGCTACGTTTATTTATTCATTTAGTCATTTTTGGTACACATGTTTATAGGTGATTTTTTATGCTAAGTATGTTTATGAGACATTTGCCAGTTTTGCACCTTTTTTATACTTGCCCACGTGGCCTGTGTCTCTCCTTTATACAGAAGAGTGTTCATCATAAGATTGTCAAAGAAACGATAAAAGTGCAATTTTGTCTCTTTTAAATAGCCTTCTTGCCTATCTTTTGTTTCTACACTATTGTTAGTATTTATGTCTGTAATTGATATGTCTTTGTTACTTTGTAATGAGTGAATAACTTGAAATAGTTTGTAGTAATATTAAATCTAAGACTGATGATTTATCTCTATGTACTATGAAGAATGTGAGATTCTTACTGATGTCAGTTTTGAAGGTGAAAACTGACGAGGCATTTGTACAAAAAAATAAGATTTTTTAATGATGTTCAAGAAAGATGAATTTCTTTTTTTACAAAAGATTTGTTGTCAAATAAAAATTAGGTAAGAATAAAAGGAAGACTAGTCGCTAATGGAAGTATTTGAAAAGACCTTTTAATTTGGAAGTCTTATGTTGTTCTGAAAATGATAAGTGATGAAGATGATGGTGGTAGGGATGATGATGATAATGGTTAGAATGATGATAATGATGACGATGGTGATGATGGTAGTGGTGATGATGATGGTAGTGGTGATGATGATGGTAGTGGTGATGATGATGGTAGTGGTGATGATGATGGTAGTGGTGATGATGATGGTAGTGATGATGATGATGGTAGTGGTGATGATGATGGTAGTGGTAATGATAATGTTGCTGATAATGATGATGATAAGGATGTTGATGGTAATGTTGACGTAGCTGCATTCGTCTTTTTTTATGTTCTTTTTATATTTTTAAACGTAGAGAGGAACATACAATACAAATGATATGGTCATGAGTCTAGAAGTACTTTTGTATCAAAATAATAATGATAAACATTTAATTTATTGAATATGAAACATAGACAATGAAAATACATGTACATTTTAACCAAGATTATTGACAACATTCAAAATTGTAAATTCCGAGCCTACTCTGCACAGGGGTGGATATAAACGCAAAAACCATCATTTCATGATGGAACTCTCACTATTCATTAGGATATATCTATCTACCAACTTCGGTGGCGTAGCATTGGACCAGACATTGGAGGGGCACCGGTCTTATTTGGTTGATGAATGAAATACCAAGATCATTGATGGGGCCATCACTTTTTTATCACACCCCTTTTTCTCCTCCTCTATTTGCTTTTTTTCTTCTCCAGTTTGACGGGGTGCGTGCCTCCGTGCCCCTCGTCAATGGTCTTACATGGGAACGACTTGCTAACAGTCGCTACATTGCAGAAACAGTGGTGTCTTATTTTTTCTTTGAACAAATTATATCTGCCATAGGTGGAAGCAAAGATGTGAAGGGGAAGTCCTTCTGATGTAGCTTTATTTGACATTTCCATTATACATGTATTGTGGATCGCTTATCACGTTTTCTACAACTTAAATGTTTCCATCATGAGAAATGGAATTTCTTTTATAACTACTTGAATCAGCCTCTTCTTAAGATAAAGGCATTAATATCCAGTCTGCAGCACATCTGACAATAGCAAGTTTTCTTTCAGTACTTGTTCATGGATTTCACAAACGTAGAAGAACCATCTAGAAAGGGTCAAAGGTCAACAGTGAGAGATTTAAGAACAATTTATGAAAGAAGAGATTATGTTAAACTGCAAAATATACCAACATCGCAATTATGTTATATAAAAAAAATGTACGTATGAAATTGCGTACATATGTATACAAACATGACAAACATATACATTTATATGAAATAAAATTGATACACATCTCTGGTGTCATGGATTCCAGGGAAATACCGCCAGCCACACCTAATGGACCCGGGGCCCTTGGGCTAATCATTCATATTGTTATCATCTCCCGGCAAGGCATTGTATTCTACAATCTACTTCTTTATATATATATACACCTAGCCCAGACGGGGAAAAGGCATAATTCAGCAGTTTCCTGGCATGCCTCATTCATACATAAATATTCTAATTGTTGGCATCTATCCCTATATTTCTAAAAATATGAGTAATATCTCAACAAAACACTCAGCATTCACGTTTGAAATATATATTTTTGCATACATTAATAAATTGATTAAAAACCATCTTACGATAAGATGAAAAAGACACCATGAAGAAAATGCCAGAAAATATTTTAACAAATGGTTCAACGTGTTAAACTGAAGTGTATTTTCCTCTCTCAACGATGCAGTGTTTGATCAAGTCTTGGATATGTAGACTACTTCAAATTTGCTGGCTCTACTTTCACGACTGTGGGGTTTGCAGACCCTTAGATTCGAGACTCAATAAAAATACCTTTTACAGAGAAGGGAGACGTTGGAGGTAGGTCAGGAGAAAAGTTTCCTTTATAACAGCCTCATGTAAAAACAAAACAAAACAAATACAAAGAGCAACAAGAGAAAAGTATGAATGTTGAAAGAGAAGATTGTCATTTTCACCACAGGAATATGATATGGTTCTCAATATAAGAATCATTTAAAAAATGAAACATTTCATTTATGAAAATAGTTCATGAAGATTGTCCGAAAGTCAACATGTCATTGTTTTTGTTGTCATGATAGCCATGTACATCTTATTAGTGCAGATGAAATATAAATATATTAATTTACATAATAATACACGTATCGAAAAGACTGTTCGCACAAAATGGCAGTACCTTAATAATTGCAGGCAGTGCCTGAGTATTTAAACCTCTTGTAAACGCACGTTTGAGTGAATATACAAACATGAGTTTTGACTCATGTTCAGTTCCTTCACCTTTAATGACTGGCTTATGGTATTGGATGCGGAAGTCTGCTTTTTATGTTTGACGCAGAGGATTGCGTCTTGCCTGTCAAACAAGTCATGTTGTTGACAAAGAATTGGACGCGTCAGCGAGTAGCGCAGCCTTGACGCACTATTTTCTGACGTGGTATTACACATAAAGTGAATGGAAACAACTCGTTCTATGACTTGCGGATGGAATATTTTGTCCCCTTTCACAGGCTTAACTACAGTAGGTCATAACGCAATTGAAATGACACCTCGTTCGCAGTTGGCATTATGCCCCTTGATTCCGGAATGATCTCATCATTCGGTTTCCCTGGGCAACAGGGCGGCTAAACTTTATTATAGGTGGAAATGTGTTTCTACCCTTAGCACATGAGACCTCATTTCGATTGCGCTATAACCTTACCTAGCGCTTATCAAGCATATGGAGTCAATTTGTACAGGAGCCGGTCATTCAAAGGACTGTTCATTTACAATACATTTTTGGGTACGATGCCACTCTCACATGCCATGTTGAAGTACGCGCCAGTAGCTGACGCAGTCCTACGCCAAATCCTACACCAAAAAATGATGTATCATGTAGCACACTCTCACAATAGCGTCATGAACCGCATCAGTCACCAACGAAGTCCTACATCGGCAACTGCGCCTTTGATACACATGCAATGCGCGGTTGGTTGACGCGTCACATGAGTTTGTATAGAGCAACAAAAAAAATGCATAAGAAACTGTGTTAACATTGCTTTTAACATTGCTTTGAATTGTGGCCACATTCTCCAAGGCAATGAAGCAATAGAAATAACTCCTCCCATGAAACGATAATTACAGATGAAGCCAAGCCTCGCCAAGCATCAAACGAAGGATATCCGCTTCCATTATAGCCATCTTCTGAACAAATAATTGCCAACAGTTGAGCTGCGCCAATATACAATAGTACACTTTTAATGGCACACTTATAACATTGTGTGCATTGGACGACGCAAGCTCGATGTGAGTACGTGAAACTTTCAAATATCTGTGTCAAACGTTCCTTGAATACTTGATTAAAAAAAAACTCGATCCAGACGCTCTTACGTTTATTGCGTCACACTCATTCAGGTTTGACAGTCATTATGGCGTCACTGTATACAGCCTGTAAAAAGGAAATAGTACATGCTATTTCTTTGGCTACACCAACCATATATGTTTATACGTTTCCTTTAAAGGCATTTGGATGTTGGCGTTTCTTGACGTCAGCGTTTCTTGTATAAAGGTGCCATCTCCTCGAACTTGACGGCGCTCTCGCCCTCATCCCCCATAAAAGGTTGATCTGAAGAATCCACGCATAGGTATTCTAGAGCGATAAGATAACAAAACAAAAATATACAATTACCACCGGGAAATTACTTTGATGTCGTCTGTGCCTGGAAAAGTTCATAATTCCACATGGTCGCAAAGACTTTCGAAAATCCACCTAAGGCAATTTCTTTAGACTTAACCATCGCCTACTGCAAAAAATTTAAATGACGTATTTCGTAATCCAAACATGATTTTTACTGGATATACAAGGGTTTTGACATTTGTCCTTGAACTTATCTTTCTAAAGTCTTTGTGATCTTGATTTTCGGAATTATGAACTCTACATCATTTTTAAACTTTAAACCCTATTTTATTTTCGGAAATGTGAACCTTTTGAATAACGAACCTTCGGAATCACGAATTTAGATTATAACAAACCTTCGGAATAACGACTGTTTTGGAAATATGAAAATTGCCATTTTGGACTCTCTGAATACATTGACACAAACTACAAAATATTGGCAGTCGTCGTGACGAAACTATAAAAATACAAACTTACTTGCGAAAACACAGCTTCTGAGTGTGGAGAGCACGTCATCTTCCGTCTGGTAGTAGAAGAATCTTTCATCGGCTTGACTTACTTGTCTAAACTTGCTGTCTAGTGGCTGAAAGAGAAACAAAAACAACAATAACCATCTGAATAGCAGAATGTTTGAAGTACATAAAAGAAAACTCTGTGTAGCATTTTAAGAAAAACTAGGTACTTCCAAACTCATAACATTCTGTATTTTTGTTAAACAACATTGCTTATGGGTTGCATGTAAGTTCTAAGAAGTGCAGGGAATTTCAAATGTATATGAAATTACTCATCTTATTTATGGATATGGAAAATGGATGACTACATGTACATAATAAAGTATAAACTCTAGATACGATAATATAGTTATAAGATGAGAGAATTCTTGCAAAACTATAGGTTAAAAACGATCTATGTAGATTTCATGCTAATGAGCCTATTTTTGTTTTCATATCAAACACCTTTCTACAACTATCTTAATCGTTATTCGTTATTGTTGCCATTTTGTTGATATTGGACAAGCTATTAACGAATGATATGCACTTTATCATGCAGTGTACAATACCTGGAAACTAATTTTGCCACTTGCATTGACTGTCAGGCATTGGGATGAAAATGAGATCAAAACTGGCAAGCCGTAATTGCTTTTATCCATCTTACTCGTGTTGAAGATACTTAGGTCTACCAGATCTGTTCACAAAACAGGAAGAAAAGAGTAGCAATTATTATTATGCAGACACATTTATTTTTAAAAAGCAATATGGTGTGTTTATTAATTTGAAATAATAACACGAATGGTGTTTTAGTAATGATAATGGTTTCGATAATGGTGGGGTGATAATTGTATCACCTTGAGAACATCATCTTGGCGGATATGATCGCTATACAAGAAGCAAACTTTGACATGATCCTTGTCATTACTGCTTTTATTATTATTATTATTATTATTGTCATAATCCTCATCAATATAATTATTGTAATTATAAATATCATTATCATCATCCCCATCACTATTTTCATTATTGTTATCATTATTATCATTATTATTATTATTATTATCATCACCATCAATATTATTATCATAATCGTAATTATTATAATCACCATCAACACCACCACCATCATCATTAGCATCAACATCAACATCATCATCATCATGATCATCGAAAATAATTGGCACCATCCTCACCATCGTCATCATCAACATCATCAAATAATTATCATCAACATCATCACTATCGTTGTCATAATCATCATCAACATCCTCATCATCATCACTATCATCATGATCATGATCATGATGAGAGACATAGCTTTGTTAAGACTCACATCTGTCTTGTTCAGTCTTGTCATCACTCTCCGGCAACAAGCCGAGATTACCCGCCTCATCAAGCCCAAGGTATTTGTTCAGTTTTTCAGCTCTGAGATGAACTTTCCTCGACTCGTAGAGATTGACCTTCAACCCGATTCCTTTCCCTGCCGAACAAGAAGTAGAACACGAAGTTGATCATTTGGAATTTGAAATAACCAGCGCTGCTGAGCGCATATTCATAATATTCATTCCCTTGACCAGTTTAAGTCCTTGTTGAAAACGTGCCTTTTTAATTCATAAATGGTATACCCTTAAAAAACAGAGGATATTTAATTTCGCTAAGCTACAAACTTACGGACTTCATCGGCTAGCTTCATCTGCTGCGTTGCTTCCAAGACTTTGACCAAAGTATCTGCTTGTTTGACGTTGGGTTCGAGCCCGCGTACCCACGTGGTTAACATTTGAAAAGCCGCTCCTCGGACGTGACAGCCCGCCGCGGTCCACATAGCCGCGACATCGCGGTAAGGCAGACCGAGGTTGAGACCAACCGGCACGTATTTCTCTGTGGGGATACGGTTGGCCAAGCATTGGATCTGCATTTCGGACAAACCTGGGACCTCCTTCTTTGACGTCACGATGTATTTCAGATGATCACTATCGGCTGTAAAAGATATGATTAAGAAAAAAATGAGATAAAATATCGAACTTTAAATTTGGCCTATTCAGTACAGATATTCTTTAAACAATTCCTTCTTGGAATCGTAAAACATCGCGACTCTGCAGATAATACACACAAATTATTCCGATTGTATGTATTATAATATTGACTTTAATATGATTGAACGCATCAGCATCGTGGATAGTGATAGTTATAATAATGCTCTCAGAAACATGCAAGAGAAATGTCTCTCAAATCGGCTACTCCAAAGTTGTGGAACGACCTCCCAACAATGTAAAGAGAGCTACATCCGTTGACCAGTTCAAAATTCCCGTTGATTTCAATAGAGAACGTGAATTAGATTGGCTAAACTGTTTTTGTTAAGTGATTGTTATTGTTTAAGTGGTTCGAACAGGTGGAGCAATGTCTGCATCACTTTGATACTGCAATAAAAAGGCACACAGTTTTGGATTGGAATCGATTGGATAATAATACTGATAATAATTATTATTTTGTTTACCCATGGAATTCTCGTCCGCACCAATGCTGCTCTTCCGGAGGGGCCTGTAATTATCATTACCCCTCCAAATGCCAGATACCCATTTACACCTGGATGGAGAGTGGCAAGTGTGGAGTGTGATTTATTGCCAAAAGATGTTAGTGTCGGGCTGGGATTCGAACCCTCAACCCTTGGATCGAGAGTCAAGTTAATGAACCACGATAACACGAAATCTTCCCATTGGATTAGATTCGATTGGGTAGGATTGCACTGGAGAGAAGATCAATGCAACTTTGTTCAAGGAATATATTGTAAAACAGCATCTGAGGAACTAACAGTTCAACAGGCTCTTCTTCTTAGTTCCTCTTTTTTTCTATTATATTTTTCGTTTCATTGTATATTTTTGTTGGTAATATTGTATTATGTTTTGCAAGAAAGTAATAAATCATAAAATCATAAGAAATGTCTACCTGGATTGATGAGCCCCTTCTCCCAGATGTCCAGCTTCTTCACAACCTTGCTCAGTGTGTCCGCTGTGTTTCTGTTCTCCTGCTTGGCTTGCCATTGGATGAGGATCTTCAGAGTGGTCTCCCGAGAAGACGAGAGCTCTGAAGAGTGACGGATGTCAGAGACCTCTTGGACGTTGAGACCAAGGATCTCGCCGAGTCTGTCCTGCAAACCAGGCATCACCTTCTCGCTGACTCGCCATAACTGGACTTCAGAGATTGCTAACAGAAAACATAACAAAGATGAATATATTAAATACCTTTTCATCAAGATTAGCATAGCCATATAGATCTTAAGTTTGGAAATTGAGACCAAGAATCTCGCCGAGTCTGTCCTGCAAACCAGGCATCACCTTTTCGCTGACTCGCCATAGCTGGACTTCAGAGATTGCTAACAGAAAACATAACAAAGATGAATATAAATGCCTTTTCATCAAGATTAGCATAGCCATAAAGAAATTACGTTTGGACCGAGAACAAGGTTCTCGCCGAGTTTGTCTTGCAAGAACATGCAAAAACTGGAGCCCTGCACGGGATGAGCGCGTCTTTGCCTTGGTGCGGGCCTTTCCACTCTTTCCTCTGCCAAGTTTGTCCTGCAAACCAGGAGTCACCTTGTCGCTTACTTGCCATAATTGAACCTCAGATATTGCTGATAAAGAAGACAAGAGGAATTGTGATTATGTTGAATATAAATATAAATGCGGAGACCTTCTCTGCAGATATACGGTGTTTCTTAATAAAGGATCTTGCTGAATTGCTAATCCTCCAAGCCAGGCATCATTTTCTCGCTGACCCACCAATGAGAATATATTCGCGCTTCCTCTTTACGAATGCCCTCCCCCCTACCACCACCATGTATATCACAAGTCATATATGGGTGGATCTAGGATTCTGTAAAATGGGGGGGGGGGGGCAGGCACGTAGCCAGAGTTCGATGTTTGGGGGGGGCACATACATGTAATCAATCGAGGTAAAAAAAAGGGGTCTAAAAAAGTTCAACCTATCTTGGAAATTTTAGGGGGGGGTGGGGGGGGGGGGGCAGAAAATTCTGAAAAATCTCTGACGTCAAAATGTTGAGACCTTTCACATTTCTGGGTGCGTTTTGGAATTGAAATTAGAAGGGGCAAAGAGACACAACTAGTAAGCACATGATGGGCACAAGGGTAACGAACCCCAAATTTAAACACAGACTGGTATACCTTATACATACCTCATACATAAGTATAATTACATGTATAAGGTATACCAGTTTGACCCTTGTGCCTCACCTGTCACCTCCATCCGCCAATGTAAACATATATCATATTCCCTTCTTTTGTTAACATATGAACATATATATATTTCTTTAAAAAATTAAACTTATTACACGATCGCAACGATATTTTCGAAATATCAACTCAAGTGCAATCTCAATGCCCTATTACAAACCCCATAGAAATCACGTTGGATTATGTACTACACCATTGTCATATGTTTGCACGTTGTAGTGGTGACACACAAGGCTATGTAAATTGCCTTAGGTTGGTGTTATGAAAGTAGTTTCGAAAGTAGTAACTAAACAAATTTATTCTTAATAAATAAATGTTAACTTAATACATATAAAAGCATGGACAGACATATATATATTTTTCCCTCTGTTCTGAATATATCTATGATTTAAAGTTACTATGTCTCATTTGCAGGCCAAAAAAATGAAAAAGTTAAATTCCAACTGCATTTGAAAGATAATACTTATTTAGAACTTCCCTAAAAAAGGTGGGGCTTGAAAATGTCTTCAAGTGGGAAATTAATGACTATTAGTTGTCAAATCGACTTTAGGGCTATAGAGCCCAAAAGTAATAGTCTTGATTTTCAGACAATTGTACCGAATGGTCATACGTTTTATGCTGCGCAAAGATTCAATCAGTTTAATCTTGGCCATCACAAGAAGTGGGTTATTGATGTAGACAAATGCTCATGTACCCTTTACAACTCTTTTCATGTATGTTATTACCAAAGAAGAAAAAAAGCCAGTCAGTCACTCAATAGTGTCTGACAGTGAAGTCTAGCAAGTAAACGGGTTTCTTTGCATAATTTGAATATGAGGACACTGCTAACGTTTAAATTTCACAGATAGGTCATACATGACATATTCATAATTCCTGCAAAGTTCTACAGAATTTGAGGTTGGCTGCCAAAGGGACATATACCTTTAATGTTAACCCACTCGAAACTACCGCGTTGTCCATACCATGTTGTTGTATGGAGGCGGGGAGTAACAAAGGGCTTCTAAATATAGCAGTGATGCTTAGTGGGTTTATGATGTTAGGGGTATTGACACATCATTGTACGTGACAGGAAATCCTATGACATGTATTTCAATTTATCCCCCCAAAGTTTTATCTGAGCGTTATAGCTGGCCTATATATGAGGTGTGTATATAAGATGTGTATGAGAGAGGTTTACATGATCACCAAATTTGATTTGCAATCCCGGACACACCCCCCCCCCCCCCCCCACAGAATCAAACAGAATTACTGTTTTCATAGCTTGAAAACATTTCTGCAATAGTGCATAGTGTAATGAAAGCTTTGATTTTCAAAGACCATTATACCATCTACAGTTTTTAAGAGCTGCAGTATGTCACTGCATGTTGTCACATATATATTTTTCACAAGACCCTGTCAATATAATGTAAATGAATTAGTCACTGACAAGTCATGTATTGCATTGCATTGTATTTATTAAAATTCATTGATGTACATAATCTGTTTATAAACATATAGATCAATTTACAATGCAATGTAACAAATCAATATTCTGTTTGTAAACATCATATAAATCAATGGTATACCTCATGTACATGAAAGAGAATATTTCGTGTCTGATAGTTTATTGCCCAAATTTGTTTCTTCTTCTTCTTCAATATCCCAAATTCCCAACTCATGCTTGTGCAGAGTTCATGGCTGTTATTATCAAGGAGTTTCACTAGCTCGTTGTGGTATTAAAGGTACTATGTCCCTTTTGCAGCCGACCTCAAATTCTGTAGAACTTTGCAGGAATTATGAATATGTCATGTATGTCCCATCTGTGGAATTTAAACATTAGCAGTGTCCTCATATTCAAATTGTGCAAGGAAACCCATTTACTTGCTAGACTTCACTGTCAGACACTATTGAGTGACTGACTGGCTTTTTTCTTCTTTGGTAATAACATACATGAAAAGAGTTGTAAAGGGCACATGAGCATTTTGTCTACATCAATAACCCACTTCTTGTGATGGCCAAGATCAAACTGATTGAATCTTTGCGCAGCATAAAACGTATGACCGTTCGGTACAATTGTCTAAAAATCAAGACTATTACTTTTGGGCTCTATAGCCCTAAAGTCGATGTGACAACTAATAGTCATTATTTTCCCACTTGAAGACATTTTCAAGCCCCACCTTTTTTTTTATAGAAGTTCTAAATAAGTATTATCTTTCAAATGCAGTTGGAATTTAACTTTTTCATTTTTTTGGCCTGCAAATGGGACATAGTACCTTTAACGCCTTAGTCACGGTGTACCAGCAATATTACACTACAGTAGTACAGGTGAAAATGGCGTCAATAGTGGGAGAGATAATTGGAGAGACTCAGAAGAATGAGAGAAAGAGATTGTTAGTGAGTGAGTGAGTGAGAGAGACAGAGAGTGAGTGAGTGAGAGAGACAGAGAGAGACAGGGAGAGAGAGAGATAATGTATAATAGAGAGAGAGGGGGAGATTATACACAGAGAGAGAGATACACTGACACAGAGGGAGTATATAGAGAGAGATACATAGACAAAGAGTGAGATACAGAGACAATGAGAGAGAGAGAGAGAGAGAGAGAGAGAGAGAGAGAGAGAGAGAGAGAGAGAGAGGGAGAGAGAGAGAGAGGGGAGAGAGAGAGAGAGAGGGGGGGGGGAGGGGGGGGGGGGGTAGAGATGGAGATGCATAAAGCGCCAAATGTCCCATGTCCGCAACACTCTTTCAGAGCCTTTATATGTACCAAAGATGGTGTTGCAATCCCGTTGCAATGTACGCACAGCCACAGACATTACACGCTCAATTATATAATACAGTGAATATACTTACTCGTATTGTGGTCAGACGGCCCGTTGCCCATAACTTCCAGCTATCCGGAATGTATCGTGGACATTCACATACAAAACACAGAGGCGATACGATACAGATGATTTAGATGTGGTTGACGATGATGACGAATTGATGATGATGTTGTAGAAGACTGATGCCCAATTATGTTGATGATATGATGACAGCGAATGGTTAAGACTATATGTTGCCACACCTAGCACTATCTGTCTCTTGTCTAACGGTATATTCGCGTCGTCAAAATTCCATACCAAAGTGGTTCAGAAAAATTCAATAACCATCAACAAAACATTATCTATATTCATAGTCCTACTAATGTATCTATCTCAGTACTGTAGCTCGCTACAGAAATCCCTACATACATGCTACACCAAGTACCATAATATCTATATACGGATGAACACAACCTCCAAAGCACTGTCATAACATTATGTGCCCTGGGAGCGCTGTGTGTACGGTGCGCTGGTAGTTGTCAGTGGTTCGTATGTGTATCGCGCGCGTTCTCGAGCGTACACATTCGTATTTAACGCACGTGCAAGCAGTCTGTACAAAATATGAAAACATGAATCCATGATGTTATTAATAATAAAAGGGTCATTCGCCCACGTAGACCCCACCCTACTCCCGTCATTTTCCGGTCTGCCAATTGTTGTCGAGATCAGGTGCGGCGGAGCGACTTCCAAAGTGGGGGGGGGGGGGGGGGGGGGGGGGGGGGCACTACCTGAAAAAAGGGCACCTTCAAAGGGTAATCTCATGCAAAGCGAATCTAAATAGGACCTACAATTTTTTAGACATTGTGATTACATTATTTGGGCTGCTTTCGATATTTGTTTCTCTTAACATATCATACAAGATATTGCTTAAGCATCATACTTTGCAGTTGGGTGTGATGGCCGTCTGAATATTCATTTGCGAGCGAGCGGATTACTGAGCGAGGAAAAAATTTAAGATTTCAGTGAGGTCGCAAGTGCAACAATTTAAAGGGAGGAAAATCCCAATGCTGATGGGGTTATAAGCACATTCTCATAACGGAAGACTGAAGACCTTTGATAAGTAACATAACTATATCATCTATAAATGCGAATGAGTTTAGCGAGCGAGCTTTTAGGAGGAAATTGCTCTTAGTCGCTTTAAATCAGGGGCACGTTTAATGAGAGAAAAGGGGGACAATTATCGCAAGGGATGACACCCATTAGAAAAGAAAAGGAGCACGTGTCAAAGTATAAAGGGTAATTATCAGAGGTGAAAATGGGACACTTCTTTATACCTGAAAAGAGGCACTCACAAGGGATGAAAAAGGCACTTATGAGAATGGAAAATGAGTATTTTGTCGACGGAAAGGGGGCACTCATCAGAATGTGATAGGGGCATTTCTGAGAGGTGAAAAGGGGCATTTATGAAAAGGGGATAGGTCCCTTACGAGAATGGAAAAAGGACACTTCTTGCACCTGAAAAGGGGCGCTGACCAGATATGAAAAGGGGTACTTATGAGAATGAAAAAGGGGCACTAATAATAAAGAAAATGTGCATTTGTTGAAAGAAAAGGGCCACCGATCAGAGAAGAAAAGGTGTAATCGTGAGAAGGGGAACGGGCACTTATGAAAAGGGACAGTTTTCATAGGTGAAAAGGGGCATTTATGAGAAGAGGGGAGAAGCTCTGTTTTAATGGGGGCACTTATCAAAGGGAAAGTGGCACATCATGTAAGTCATTGTCAAATAATGAAGGTCCCGCATTGTATTTGGCTAAACAAATTAAATAGCAAACACTGTTCAGAAACAAAAGTTCAGATTCAGTTCAAGAACATCGTTTATTTTCTTTCTTGCACAAAAAGATTCACAATTATTGTTCCAACATTAAAGGAGAACTAACCCGAAGAATAAGTGTAGGTATATTGAAAAACGAGATGAATTCCTGCCTTTTAATGTATTTTTTTTTCTTCCACAGGGATTTTATTGATATTCATTTGAATATATATATTCAAGGTAATTTAAATTTATAACATAAATAAAATTGGCTTCTCAAGATCCAAGTATTGTTGAACTGTTGAGTTAACAGAAAACTAACAAATCAATAATTCATTTCTGATATTCATGGAAAGAAAAAAAGAATACAGAAAAAATATTTTATGTAAATAAATTCCTGAATTAAAAGCCTTTTAATGTATAATAAATCTTACGAACGCGTACAAGAGATATATAAATGAAGATTTCTTGGCATGATGTAATGCATTTTAGCATGACATGGGCACAGCCATTTTCGTGAAAAGGAAAATGTGACGTACCAGGCGGAGTTGTACATGTATCATGCAGCGAGCTTTAATTGAAAAGACTTTTTCATCCAATAACAAAACTTTTACTTTTTATTTATGCAATTAGTTGAATACATTTAGTTGATAAACGAATACGCACCGTACATCATGCAATCAAGAAAATGGCGATGCCCATGTCTTGCTGAGAAACTGTATAGTACTTTATTCTTGCTTTATGCCTTTCTCATACACCTTGTTGGCGAATCTTGTAGATTGATGGGCAAGAATGCAATAAATCTCTCAGAACAACTAAAGTTATTCTTTGGGTTAGTTCTCCTTTAAAGTGACTCGGTAACATTGTTGAAGGTTGATGAAAAAAAATTGCTTAATTTTTGTATAAAATGTTACTTACTATATTCCTTCTACTATACTAACCCTCTGACATGCAAAAAATCCTGAACAAATTCTCAAACCACAAAGATATCTATAGTTTTCTTTGAAGGCGTCGATGTGAGGCACCCTCTAAAAGTGATTAACAGTAAATTCTCCCAACCCTTTTTGAATTTTCCCAACCGTTTTTCCATGAGAAAAATACATAAAATAGGCTATAAAAATCTGTCAACACTTAACTGTCTGGAATGGAATGTAGAGCCATTTTATTGCTTTGTGACGATTTACATTCACCTAAAATGTAATTAAATTGTCCTTGTCTTGATGCTAAACAGGCTTTGACAAGTAGCAGAATAGAAGTAGAATAATATAGTTGGGAGAATTAAGGAATCGATCAGATCAGTTTTTCCCAATTTGTACCATGAATAATGATTCGTTTTCACTCAAATTTTCAGATTATCTTTAATTGTACATCTAGCATTAAAGTCACTACCTTAGCACCACCATCTCTCATCTGAACAATGTTAAAAAGTCCCTTTAAAACGTAAAGTTACACATTAATAAAAGACATGCCATGCTACGTAAAATATATATCTACATGTATTATAATTCAATTAATTTATCTTAACTATTTTAGTCATCTAATTACAATAAATGAAATATATATGCAAAGATACACATTTCATTATTCATATTGCAGTCGGTCATCGAAGAAGTATCAACTTAAATACAACTGTAAATAACATTTTGAAAGCTATAAAATAAATCCAGAAAGATTCCGGACAGGGAATGCAAGCACGTCACAGGAAAATAGAAAGAGCTAAACTATCATTCACCTACGTGGCATTTACAATTTATAATAATAAGAAATCCGCTTTTATACATTATACAGTGCGTCCCAGAAAAAACGAAACCGAGAATTATCGATGTTTTATTATAACAATCAGCCATGTATGAAGTTTTTCGTTTACGGCTTTCTAGAAATGTGATTTTCTCTTTGAAATTCAGATACCGTCCGCCAAATGACTTTCTGGTTTCCTCTTTTCAAATTGATTTGAATCACTCATGCGTAAAATATGCATCATGAGAGTATCATGAAATGAAAGAGGAGGATCTATGCTTTCCAAATATGTGTCATTTATCAATTATAATAATGACTAAGTTATGATAAAACATCGATAATTCTCGGTTTCGTTTTTTCTGGGACGCACTGTATAAAAATTGGATTCAATACTTGCCCCCGCACACTGTGTGCACAATCTCCATTCCCTGGGGAGCATTCCAGTCAGGCGTTATCAACATTTAAAAGACATTATTCCTAGGTTTAATACTTCCTTTAAAACAAAATAAACTTAGGCTAACTATAGAAATAAAAACATTTGTTTAAGGTTTGCGGTGAACGATCTCCGGGCCGACTTCGAAATATTCTTGGCTGCTGATGGCTTGCTGATTGAATGCCGGACGTGTGGCAAACTTGGATGCCCCCACCCAGACGATACTCTCCCTATTCTGCCGGTCCAGGATCTGGAGCGGCATTGTAGGCGGAGCCAGCTCCATCAGCTCCCGCTCCAACCGGTCGTGGAACCCGCGGAAGACGCTGGAGCCGCCGACGAGGACGACGTTGGCCCCGACTTGGTCGCGGGTCCCCTCCCCGCAGGCCATGATGCTGTCGATGGTGGTGGCGTGGATGCCTGGGTGGTTGCGGCCGAAGATGGAGGGCTGGAAGAGAGCCTCTGTGGCGTAGAGATGGTGGACGTCCTGGCCTTCGCGCTGAAGACGCGTCACCTCATCGAAGTCGGCGACGACCTCGCATGTGCTTGTCTTCATCGTCTGTGCGATCTCTGACAATGTGACAAAATCGTGACAAACAGAAGAAACGACAGTGAGATATAGTAAAAACAAGACTAGAGGGGTTGCCATATTTAATAATTTGGGATGAAACTAAAACAAAAAATATTTCAAATAAGGGGGAACAAAATTCTCGCTATAACTGCAAATCAAAGTATATGCCAATCATGTATCCCGGATTGTCTGAATTTTTAAGGAGAAGGGCGAATATGTCCCTATTAATTTTGTAGTGATACGCCAATACAGACCCTACTAGGCTGTTTAGCAAGAATGGGACAATCATAATTATGATGTAATAATGCTTCTCATCAAATTTAGATGCACTGGCTTTTGTTGAAAATCAAGTGGTAATTCTATCAACAAAGCAAGTTAGTCTGAAGTCTTAAGTTTCATTTTGTTAAAGAGGATTTTGCACCCGGGACTGGGTTAACTTGAATATGGCCCGTTGGGTATGCATCGTTACCATAGGTAATTTTCTCCCCGCGTGCAGCGGGACTCTTCATCATATACTCGGTGATGTCGCGGCCGGCGAGCTCGAGACGACGAACGGATCCGTCAACGACCACGGCGTTATAGATTGGTACAATGTCCGTGATGCCGTCACCGATGTCAATCACGGTACCGGTCATTACTTCCGAAGCGAAGAGGGCGCACATAGATTGCTTGACAAGGTAAAAGGCCGGGACCTCGAACTTCTCGAACATGATCTGATGAATAATGAGGAATCGTGATTTTTAATGTGTTAGAATCTTACCTTTATTATCATGATATTGGGAAATGATGAAGTTAGTCGGGCTAATTGTACAACAAATATAACAAATTGTTCCGCGGTCAATTTCAAACACTAACCGAATTATTAACTTTAACACTGGATCCAACACTATGATCTAACCCTAACCCTAAACACAAATATAAATCTAAACCTCATTTACAACCTTTACTCGATAAGCACAGACAAATATTGTCACCGAGGTAAGACTGTGTAGCATCCCCGTGAGGCAAACCCGCCTGTGAACTATTTGAAATGCCCAGTATTAACTGTTCGTTTATTGATTCGGCCCTACTGCTTTTCTTCTATTACTTTGGTAAATTTGTTCAAACAACAAGATGTCATAGACTCTCGAAAAATTACATTTGCCATTCAATAGTCCTCTCTATTGCGATTCAAAATGTGCGAACATGACAATGTAATGTTACGTACTCAGAACACGATTTCTAGGGTATAAAAAAAAAAGGAAAGGTATTGCAATCGCACTTGAGTCAATTTTTCGATTTGTGTACTTGCAATAATTGGTAAGAATCAAAGTTACAAGACGGTGGTCCACAAGGCCCCTTTGAATTACTTTTCTGGTCTGGGAGTCTTCAATTATCAACAGAGACAGATCTTCTTCTCTTGTTGATCTTCTTCTTTTCAAAGCGGGGCAGTGGTGGTGGTGAGTTTATGGGGGGGGGGCACACACAAATTACTAGCATGATTAAGTATGCATGTCAAAACTGAGTTGTGTGCCCTTCCCCTTTTAACCGGTTATTAATCAATTTGTACACAATATACAGACGACATCCGGAGCAGCCAACCAACCACCAGCCGCCGCCCCCCCCCCCCAAAAAAAAAAAGAATTAAATAAATAAATAAATGATTGCAAAAATATTTTAAAAAACTGACGATAAGATAAAGGTTTCGACATACCTCAATCATTTTTTCTCGATTTTCCTTCGGGTTCAATGCCGGTTCGGTGAGCACGACTGGTCTTGATTCGGGTTTGACTCGGAGTTTGCGCCGGTAGATGAACTCCCAAACGGTTTCCATGTCTTCCCAGTTTTTCACAAGACCTCGTTGAATGGGTTGACTGATGTCTAGAACACTCCGCTTGTTGAGGGCATCATTGCCGACGTACGAATCATCTTCCTATCAAATAAGAGGTAGCCTTGATGAGGACGACGGCGACGACGATGGTGATAGCGATGAAGATGGTGATGATGATGGCGATGAAGCTAATGGAGGTGATGATGGTGAAGGTGATGATGGTGATAGCGATGAAGATGGTGATGATGATGGCGATGAAGCTAATGGAGGTGATGATGGTGAAGGTGATGATGGTGGTGGTGATGATGGTGGTGGTGATGAGGATGGTGGTGGTGGTGGTGATGAGGATGGTGGTGGTGATGAGGATATGGTGGTGGTAGTGTTGGAGATGGTGATGATGAGGATGGTGGTGGTAGTGTTGGAGATGGTGGTGATGAGGATGGTGGTGGTAGTGGTGATGGAGATGGTGGTGATGAGGATGGTGGTGGTAGTGTTGGAGATGGTGATGATGAGGATGGTGGTGGTGGCAGTAGTGGAGATGGTGGTGATGAGGATGGTGGTGGTAGTGGTGATGGAGATGGTGGTGATGAGGATGGTGGTGGTAGTGGTGATGGAGATGGTGGTGGTGATGAGGATGGTGGTGGTAGTCAGTGGCGTAGACAGGTTCGTACACCTGGGGGGATGACTCAGGGGCGGATCTAGCTTTTTGCTAAGGGGGGGTTGACCAATAATGACGATGCGGAGCATCGTCCACGAGCCGCAAAGCGGCGAGCCGATTTTTTTGGGGGGTGTTTATTTGACCCCGTAAGTGATGTTTTCCTGGCATCTATTAACACAATGGAGACTATAAAAAGCAGTGCATGATAACGTCTTTTTAAATCAAGTAACAGTTAAATACACAGTTATATCCAGAGTTATCATGTGTTTGGTTAAGTTACCAGATGAGTTGAATATCTTCTCACAATATTTGCACTTGAAAGGGTTTCTCTCCAGCGTGCGTTTTTTTTTTTTTTTTTTTTTCTTTTTTTTTCTTTTTTTTCCCCCTTTTTTTGTTGTTTGTTTTTTGGGCCGCCCAAGGGGGGGGGGGTTTAAACCCCCTAACCCCCCCCCCGTAGATCCGCGCCTGTTTTATCTTGTGGTTTCTAAACCACAAGATAACAACAAAATACTTGTAAGATATTCTTTTTTTTACCGTCTGAATTGGCTTTCACCGTGTGAATGCGGCTAATAACAATAAACACAATAACAATAATGATGAGGATTATTATTATCATCATCATAATTATTATTGTTATTAATATTATAATTGTTATCATTATTATTATTACTATTATTATCATCAGGCTTATTAAGTAAGCAAATATCATTCCCCAAAACCTGGGGGATGATTGTACATGCCATCCCCCCCCCCCACCTTGTGAGGTGGGGGGGATGCATCCCCCTCATCCCCCCCCCCCCCCCCGTTGTCTACGCCCCTGGTGGTAGTGATGATAATAACGATGATGATGATGTGGTGGTAGTAATGATATATGAAGATGATGATGACGATTATTATGATGTAATGGTAACAAAAATGATTATGACTACATGTGTATTTATCATCATTTAATAAAAGCGAAAAAAGATCGCAAACATTTCTATCTCCGGCAATTTAAATAGCCTGCCCATCACACTTATAAATTTGCGTACATTACTATGACGTTACGTAACCCAATTGTGATTTCTCGGAGTGTTTCCACACAAAAAGGTATAAAAAGTCTTTGCGATCATGTTATGACGAATTTTTTAAAGATCTCAATATTGCTACAAAGAATATATATACGAATAATCAATTTCATTTGGCTATTTGGGACTCTTTTAACAGGGACTGCCTGTGTGACCAGGGCTCTGTCTACAAAGAGTTGATATCAATCGCAACTCTGTTATACTCTTTTGATACCTGAAGTGGCTATTGTTCGCAATTACACTATATTGATAATCTAATAATATTTTCCAGCCATTAGAAAAAAATAGAATAGCTTTCGTTATCCGATTATTAATTCTACTGATTATCTCAGATCAAAAAATATATTATTAAAGGAGAATTATATCGTCTAAAGAACTACAAGGATTTTTTTCTGTGGCAAGGAAAATGGCAAATCAGTCACACCGCTTAAGGTAAAACCTCTACCTTTCAAAGTGCTCTCCCCTATATCAATTTCTTACGTTTTGTTGATGTCTGCCGACTATGGTTCGGACTTCGCCATCCGGTGATGATTTTCCCGCAAACCCGTATTTACACGAGTACGATCCGTTGTCGATGATCACGGCTGGTAGTAAATTTTGGAGTGGCTCCTTCGGTTCGACGACATTCTCGCGGTGAACGTTGGTATCGGCTGGCTGGGAGGTCTCAATGTTTGTCTGTGGTGCTGGGAGATTCATAGAATGGATTTGATCATAAATTCACTTTTGCACTTACACAATCGCAAAGGCTGTCGAAAAATCAACCTAAGGTAATTTCAATAGCCTTGTCCCCACCTATTGAAATACATGTACGAACATTACATTGGCGTATTTCATATCCGAACCTAATTTCTAAGGGATATACAATAAGCCCTCATTAGGTATTAAAAATTGCCCCTGATTTGATCATGTATTGGGTATAGAGCAAGGTCCATTGTAAAGTGCCACGCCCACTTATACTGTAGCTACTGGCAGACAGTGTATACAATAATGTGCGCGACCGGTATGGAGTACTGGAACTAAACTCGGCCTAGGAATTCAAACAATTTAACGTACAAGTCGACTCGATCTGATTTTAAAATAATCAAACGGCCCTTTTATAACCATAGTCAATGGGCCCTCAAGCTACATGTAGCCCTTTGGGACTAGACCATTCAAATCTAGTCAATAAATCCGCCCCTGTATAGAATTCACCATTCATACATGTAGCTCATCCATTTGTATACGGAGGAGGTCCGACGGCTCAGTCAGGTGAAGCAGTGGTCTCGTAACTAGGAGGACCTAGGTTCGAAACCAAGTCGATGAGCTATCCCCTATTGTAATTAAGGAATTAATCCTCATTACCAAGACTCTCTGAGCCGTTGGTCCCTCAGTTACCTACTCATGAGGACATGCATTCTTTCTTCATGTTAACAGTCAGGTAAAATAAACCAAACTGAACCGAACCAATATAATTTAAAAGTTCCCACGCCTATATATTTTTGTTACATACTTCCTGCTGTGGGCGGCTCCGCTGTCGTCGTCGTCGTCGAAGTTGGGGGTTCCTCGGTCGATCTCGACTTACTTCCCTTACTCTCCTTTTTCTTCTTTCTTGCCGACTTCTCCATTGCAGTCTTTGACGCTGATTTCCCCATTGTGCCGGTAAATAATTGTTCCTCGACTCAACGACTCATCAACAATCCCAATATTTTGTTCACTGACTATTCAACGGCACTTCAGCAAGTCCAAAATGTGTTAATTGACGATTCAACGAAGCTTCAACAAACCCAATACTTTGATCAATGACGAAAACAAAATCGAATTAAGTTCAATATTTTGTTCATTGACGATTCAACGACGCTTCGACAGGTCTTAATGTGTTCACTAACGATTCAACGACGCTTCAAAAATCTAATACGTTGATCCTTGACGAATAAATCTAATCACATAAATGTGTTACATACAACCAATATCGAGGTTAGCTATTCCGAAACCGTGGCGAGAACAAAAAGCACGAAGGGACTTTGCCTTCATGATTTACCGAAATGCCAATTCTGAAATACCACTTGAATTATAACAATACACCTGTATATTGATATCACTACAATGCTAAATCGGGCTGACATTGATTATTGAAGTAGTGCATGATTTCATTTTTAGACCTTTGATCGGTCACATGACTCAAGGTGATTGTGTGATTTTCTGGGGATTTCGACGTTCGCAAAATGAATACCGACACGGAGAGAATAATAAGCGTTATGATAGTTGGTTACTTTGATCTTGAATAGAGGTTTACAAAAGTCAAAATTTACGGTGAAAACACACCGACGGAACTACTAAATTATTTCAATTCATCATTAAAGTGAGTAGCACAAATGCAACTGCACGTAGACAGATTTTATGGTACGGTATTTCCCCTTGATTTTGAAAGGGTTTCTTGGCTTATGTTATTCACTGAAGAAATTGTATCGAATTTTGCACCATCAGTATTATACACGAAAATTATGACATATATTGTTATACGCCTAATATGTAAATATATATATATACGAGAGGTATAAGGTGGGGTAGGTGGAGTGGATATGAGAGAGAGAGAGAGAGGGAAAGAAGAGAGAGCGGGGAAGAAAGGAGAGAGACGGATATATCTTTGTTACGGGGTTCCAGGAGTTATTCTAAAATGGACAAAACGAGAGTGACGTCAATTATACTGTTGGGTGTAGCATCAGCTAAAACAATGTGATCTTTATTAAAAATATGATAGTTCAAACTAATATGTGAATTTACAATGTAATGAACAAGGTTTACAATATACATGTGTACACGTATTTCATATCCGAACCTAACTTCTAAGGGATATACAAAAGACCCCAATAAGGTATTGAAAATTGCCTCTGATTTGATCATAGGGTAAAGATCAAGTTCCCTTGTAAAGTGCCACGCCCACTTATACTATAGCTACTGGCAGACGGTATATACATGTACGCGATTGGGAATGGAGTAGGACTAAACTCAGCCTAGGAATTTGTGTGGGATCATGGGGAGAGAAATTCAAACTAGTGAATAGTCCAAACAAGTTTTTGTACAAGTCGACTCGATCTGATTTTAAAATACTCAAACGGCCCTCTAACTAAAATCGGCGGGTTCTCAAGCCTTAGCACACCAAACCATTCAAATATAGATAATAATCCGCCCCTGTATAGAATTCACTATTCATACATGTAGCTCATCCACTTAGGTACGGAGGAGGTCCGACAGCTGAAGCAGTGGTCTCGTAACTGGAGGACCTAGCTCCGAAACCAAGTCGATGTGCTGTTGCTCTATTGTAATAATTAATCCTCATTACCAAGACTCCCTTTGCCGTTAGTTCCCTAAGTTACCTACTCATTAGGACATGCATTCTTTCTTGATGTTAACAGTCAGGTAAAATAAACCATCAAACTAAACCGAACCAATATAATGTAAATGTTCACACGCCTATATATTTGTGCTACATACTTCTTGCTGTGGGCGGCTCCGCTGTCGTCGTCGAAGTTGAGGGTTCCTCGGTCGATCTCGACATACTTCCCTTACTCCCCTTTTTCTTCTTTTTGGCCGACTTCTCCATTGCAGTCTTTGACGCTGATTTCCCCATTGTGCCGGTAAATAACTGTTCCTCGACTCAACGACCCATCAATAAGTCCAATATTTTGTTCACTGACTATTCAACGACACTTCAACAAGTCCAATATTTTGTTTATTGACGATTCAACGAAGTTTCAACAAACCAAATACTTTGATCAACGACGAAAACAAAATCGAATTAAGTCCAATATTTTTTTTCATTGACGATTCAACGACAAATCAACAGGTCTAAATTGTGTTCACTGACGATTCAACGACGCTTCAAAAATCTAATACTTTGATCAATGACGAAAACAAAATCGAATTAAGTCCATTATTTTTTTCATTGACGATTCAACGACGTTTGAACATGTCTAAAATGTGTTCATTGACGATTCAACGACGCTCCAAAAATCAAATACTTTGATCCCTGACGACTAAATCGAATTAAATAAATGTGTAACATACATCCCTTTTAATAGAGCCAATGTCGAGGTTAGCTATTCCGAAACCGTGGCGAGAACAAAAAGCACAAAGGGACTTTGCCTTCATGATTAACTGAAATGCGGCTGAAATACCACTTAAATATAACAGTCCACCTGTACCTTAATATCACTACGATGCTAAATCGGGCTGACATTAATATTGAAGTAGTGCATGATTTTATTTTTAGACCTTTGATCGGTCACGTGACTCAAGGTGATTGTGTGATCTTCTTGTATACCGACACGGGGAGAATAACGAGCTTATGACAGTTGTTTACTTTGATCTTAAATAGAGGTTTATAAAAGTCAAGGTTTACGGTGCAAACACATCGATGGAACATTAAAGTGACTAGCGCAAATGCAACTGCACTTAGACAGGATTTATGGTACGGTATTTCCCTTGACTTTGAAAGGGTTTGGTGGCTTATTTTATTCACTGAAAAAATTGTATCGAATTTTGCATCATCACCATCAGTATTATACACGAAAATTATGACATAATTTGTAATACGACTTATATGTAAATATATATATATATATATATATATATATATAATATATATACGAGAGGTATAAGGTGGGGTAGGTGGAGTGGATATGAGAGAGAGAGAGGGAAAGAAGAGAGAAAGGGGAAGAAGAGAGAGCGGGGAAGAAAGAAGAGAGACGGATATATCTTTTGAAAGAGAGAGAGAGCGAGAGAGGGGGAGAGAGGAGAGAGACGGATATGTCTTTTGAGAGAGACGGATATGTCTTTTGAGAAAGAGAGAGCGAGAGAGGGGCAGAGGGGGCAGACAAACACACATACGAATGGGCACAAATTAAGTAAACGAGGTTCACATTGACTTAAGTTGTTTTGAAATATGACTGCAGGCGCGTACGCAGGGGGGGGGGGGATTGGGGTTAACCCCCCCCCCCCTCGAGTTTTTTTTTATGTGTATGTTTTATGTATGTCATTTTGGAAACCCCCACCCCTTTTGAGATTTTTTTGTTTGTTTGTTTAATAAATTTAAAAAAAAAAAATAATAATAATTGCCAATGGCTGACCTTAAAAAGGTGACCTTACCCCCCCCCCCCCAACTGGACAAAATGTCAATTTTTCAAATTTCGAGACCCCCCCCCCCCCCCCCCCCCCCCCACTTATTCAGCGGCTGGCTGAGTCGTTGCGATTTTTTGGGGACTCTAAAAAAAAAAAAAAGTGTACGCTTCACCCCCCCCCCCCCCGATTATTCAGCGGCTGGCTGAGTCGTTGCGAAATTTTGGGCCCAATTTGAAACCCCCCCCCCCCCCCTTGAAAAAATCCTGCGTATGCCACTGTATGACTGTAACAACGTACTTTTAAAGGATTATTATTAATGTCCTTTTTCTGCAGGCTCATAATTCCGAAGCTTCATTGATCCAAAGTGTTACTAATTTAATTGTTTGTTATTCCGAAGGTTCATCATCAAAGCATAATTAAATAATTATAAAATGTATATACAGAACGAACGCTATACCATTTCCGGAAATACGAACCAACAGAAAACCGAAACTTCGGTAAAACGAGTGCCCCTTCTAATAAAAAAAAGTAATAATATTGCTTTAAATCTGGTCGTAGCTGCTCTACTCACCACCGCCTTGGTTCGTCGTCTCGTCGCCTGGTGGCCGTCTTTGTCACATAGTATAAGCCTATATACGTTGTAGCCCTGGTAGTCGTTCTCTTTCCCTTCCAGCAATCTAAATGATTGAAGAATATTGCAATACCTGAATTTGTTACGGAATCACGGAAATGTTCATGTCATAATATAAGTTACGTTATACATCTTCATTGCCTTAGGGAAATAGAAGTTGAGAAAACGTGTTATCCCCCCCCCCCCCCCCATATTGACGTCATATTCATGCAATACTACAACTCAGACGAGCTTTCAGGATTCTTCATGGCTTGTTGCCAATTTATGCCCAAATATTCTCATGACTCAGTAGTCATAAAATTGCATTCTATTTTAATACCACAAACCTTTTATTTTGGTTAAACAAAGCTAATAGTCTTCAAAAAAAGGAACGTTGCGATACAAAGGCTAATCATATTTACACACGTGGATTTAATCTGAAAACAGATTTCGAGTTACAATTGACTTATTCTGTCTAGGTTGCTCTGGTAAAAATATATTGCCCCCCCCCCCGCCCCCGCCTCCGTAGGATGGTATAAACATTAGTACTCCGCCATTATCACTGCATCATGAATCATCATCCTGGTCGTAAATGGTATGGCGCGGTCAGAACGTCTTCTCCTCTCCTCTTACTTCCACCTGTAAAATGAGAACTCTCTTTAAAACTGCATCTCATTCTATATTTATTTGTTTATTTTTCACATACCCACCAAATTGCATTTCCTACATTTAAAAAGTATCATCATTTCCATTTGGTTATCATAATTCTTTAGCCCTGTTTCTCATTCCAATTAATGCTTTTCATATTTCTTTCTAATTTAAAGCCTTTTATTTTAACGTACTTTCCTTCATTCACATAACATCTTTTCATTGAACTATTCATAATAGTTTCAAGCAGATCAATAGACTTTCCTCTACGGTTTATAAATTCATGTCAACAATTTATTATATATATTTGTTTATATCTCTATATATTCATACAAGTCGTGTTATACAACAAACATCCAAAATGTATTGCTTCTGTAGCCGTATTTTCCTTTATTTGTAAATAAACTTTGACTCATGGAATTGGTTTGATTTTTATTTTAATTTTTCACAATAAAATTATCATAAACTTGTCATTTCTTACCTTTTGATACTTACCTATAAATATAGGAACATGTACAAGTGTTCATCTGGAATAACATGCTGATTTCAGTTTTTGACAGACCACACAGGGTGGGGCAGACTCCTGAGATGTTGACCTCTATCGAGGTCAAGGTCAACCGTTCGTTGAAGGTCATGACCTTTTGATTTAATTTCAGCAATCCCGATAAAAATTATTTTCTTTGATTTTGTCTTGCAAATATTTTTGTTTTGCAAGTTTAAAATATTGCTTGGAACAACTGCAGAATACCTCACTACACAAATAACCCTAATCCTAATTCTAATCCTAATCCTCATCCTAAACCCTATGACCCTAACCAGGGGGTAGCTAACCTTAGAACTAACGTATTCTATAGTGATGCATGGTAGGGTATTCTGCAGATGATACTACAATATTAACTACACAATACTGTACCGATATCAATCCTACAATATGAAAGTAAGCCAAAATAACTAAAACTATAAGAATATTATACGTATCTCTACAAAATGATTGTTCATACTTCTATTATAGATCTATCCTACTTCGACGTAACATCGATTATGAATCATCAATTTATATACCAAATCAGTCATTACTTAAAATCATAATTATAAATGGTCATGTCTAATTTATCAACACAAATACTCTAATTTTGCTATTATAGATCTATGCTTTATTCATATTATCATCATGTATAAATCAGCAATTATCCATTTTATATCAAATATCAATCATAAATTATGAATTTCTAATGTTAGAATATAAATATTACGATTATATCTATAAAATATATTTTCTATAATCTTGACCTAGATATTAATCGTATTTTTTTGTTTACATACTTTGAATAAATATCTATTTATATATATATATATTAAAGCATTGTATAGTTAGCATAATAGCATAATTTAGCATAGCATATTATCACATGCCTAACTTTTATTGTGCAATAATATTGTACACAAATTCATTGATATCGGTAAAGTATTATATAGGCATTGATTGATTTGCATAATTATAAGAGCCAGGAGACACGAGTTTACGATTTCCGATTTAATTTATTGGTCAATTTGATAATACAAATCAATGCTATATAACATCATTTATCTAATACTAATCTAAAAATAATATTCATTTAGTCTAAAATATTTATTTCACCAAATCTCAAATCAATGCCAATTATGGTAATGTACATACCTATATAGTAATACAATCAACATGAAATCAAATATCAAGGGAAGAGTATACATAATGTAATATTTCCAATTTAGAAAAGTAAATGCAATAATTTCTTACCAAATCAATAATATATTACCAAAAAAGAGATCCTTGACTTTGAATCTTTGTTGAATTTTGAGGGATGATTCTTCTGACACAGGTACTATTCGATTGAAGATCGTTGCCTCTATTTCGATGTCGGCAAAAACGCGACGTGACGTGATCGCAAAGGAATAGGAATATAGGTTGTCCATTCCAACCCAACAATCTTCGTGATTATGGAATCTACAATATTCTAAGATGGGTAAGGGTAGATTAAAACTTGGCCCTTACACTACTTTTATATTAATTAAGGGGGCCTATGTGTATCAATGTTGTCCTAACGTTTAGATTTGGCCAAGCTCAAACCCATCCTGACCCATCTCAGTGAATTATAGAGCTCCATTAAGATCACAAGTGATATTGCTGAATTCTCTACAGACAACTTCACTTACCCCGACATCTAT